AAGACAGCCAGAGCAATCCGGAGGCCAAATCCACCTCTGCCAAACCACCGCCAGGCAGACCCCCTGCCCCAGTCCGCCCCTCTCCGCCCTTCAAACCCAGCCCCGGCGCTGCTCCGCACCCGCGGGGCCGACCCCAGCGGACCTCGTACGGAACAGAGAGCGGCGGAACAAAGCGCAGGGGAACGGAGAGGGCTCGGGAAGCCCCTCAGACTCCTTAGGTGCGCGGTGGGTGCCGCGGCCGGTGCCGGCGTCCACGGTGAGGGACGCGAGGCCTGCTCCGCACCTCTCACCGTGGACCCCGGGACCGGCCGGGGGCCGCCCCCCCCCCCCCCGACCCACCGTGAAGGAACACCGGGGTCGAGCGAGGAACCCCGGGCCGGGCCTCACCAGTTCTGAAGGAGCTGGACGTAGCGCGGCCCCACCAACTTGCTCAGCATCCCGCCACCTTCCACCGCCTTCAAAGTCACCCCCACCGCGCATGCGCGGCCGCGCCGCCGCGCCGCAAAGGACCCCGTGCCTTGCGCATGCGCGTTGAACGGGAGTGCCCGCGGCGCTGCCTGAGTCAAGCGGCGTTGTCATGGCAACGCCCACCACCCCTGGTCGTTGTCTCTCATGGCCCTCATGGCGCCGCGCCCGCCACACAGCCGCGTCCCCGGTCACGGAGAGGGGATACGAGCCCTGAGGGGATGGGCTGTCCCCACACTGAGCTGGGACTGCTTCTCGTCCCCCGTGGTGGAGGAAAGTGCAGTTTCCCCAGTGCCCATCAGCGCCTCTGCAAAGTCCCCTCGTCGCTGCCGCTCAGCCTCTCCCAACAGGAGAGGGAGTTTTAAGCCAGATTTTTTTCAGCAGTGGGTCCTAGATCCACCATCAATTCCATAACATTCCCCAGACTCTGCTCCAAGCCAGCTCAGCTGCTTGCGTACCTGCAGAAAGTCCTGGGGGACATTGGAGCCCAAAGCACTCAACCTGCGGCCGGCCTGCCGAAGCGTCAGGGCTGCAAATGCTTTCCATGCTCCTCTGAGCAAACCTGTAGTAATGGTGTCGGGCAGTGACACCAGCAGCCGTCGTCTGCCCTCACACCCTGCGCTGGCTGCCAAGAGCCGAGATTCACAGAGCGGAACCTGTTGCAAAAAATCCAGCCCCCGTCTTTTGTCACCAGGACACAGAACAACTATTTTATCAGCCCTTTGCGTGCCGGACTCGACGTCACATTTCATACCGACGGTTCAAGTGTTTCTCTGCCTTGGTGCCAGCAGGGCGACGTGGGTTGCTGAACCATGCAGCCTTTTGGGTTCATTTCTGCGAGCTGTTTCCCCGCTGCCCACGCACCAGCTGGTGCGTGAGGAAGTCAGGCGGCAGCTCCGTGGCGTGTGTTCCTGCAGGAAACCGGTGCCTCTGCCACAGCCACCGCCTTACCACAGGTACGGTGGGGGGGAGCGAGCCTGGTGAACAGGCTCCGCACAGGTTTTGCTTTTTTAATGTCTGTTTGGCTCTGTGGAGTCATGCACACGCAGGAGAGTCTCAGCTTTCACTTTGCATCGAAAGTTTCCTAGATGCCAAAAAACCCCACGTTAATAACAAAGGCAGAATAACTCAAAAGGCAATGAAAAACAGCTCAATGTTTATCTTCAGAAAAGTGCTGGGGTTTTGAAGGCAGTTGGGGGGGGGGCAGGTAGTGTATCCTACTGCTTTACTCCAGTCAAGGCAGACAGGAAAAGATCCAGTAATACTACCAATTTCCTGGTTAAAAGAAAACAATGGCAATATTAGCAACTCATCCTTTCAGCATATTTTGCTGTCATCCACAGTTCAAGCACTGTGCAAAGGCATTTGCAGTCTGCTCTGGACACCATGCTGCAACACCATGCTTGCTCCTTCCCTGCAGAAACTCCTTTTAGCTGTTGGGAGAATGTTCATACCACAGCAGGGACAGCTACACCTCCAAAGCCTGACTCCTGAAGGTGAGCTGCTAATGAAAGTGAGGGCCACTTTCTTCTCTTGGTGACTTCTGTGGCACAGATGTCATTTTAGATTTGGAAGCAGAAAAGAAAGGGCAGTGAGCCTGGCTGTCCAGAGCTGCCTTAGGGACACCACAGTAAAGCACAAAGCTGTGTTCAACCATTAGAACAAGCAATCTGCATCTCTCAGGCCACCAGACCAAGTGAGGATGTCTCTGTTGATGCCTTGCATCAACAAAAATCACTCCCTGTTTAAAGCAATGAGGTGGAGTTTTCCGCTCCAAGAGAGGAGACGGCTCTGCGATAGCTTGTCCTTGCTTTAAGGACAGTTCATGGCCATGTCTGGCAGTGCCACCATGACATGACGTTTGCCCACAGAATCTGATAGTCTCATCCCATCTCTTGACTCATCTCCAGGGAGAAAATGCTTCTGAGCATTCACCCAGGAACCTCCAGCTCCGTATCAGTTGGTGGCCACTGCTTGTATCTTGGACAAAGTATTTGCTCTCAGCCACTCAGCAGCAACTCCTGTGTATTGCTCCTTGGTCCTGCCCTCACCTGATCTCCCAGCCCAAGCCTGCTCTTGCCACCGGGGCTTGCCAGCTTTACCTTCAGCCTTGTGCATCTCTGGGCATCCATCTTCCAAGCTGCAGCCTTGCTTCCAAGCATACACTTCTCCCTTGTCTGGATCTGGTACAACCTTGGTTTCTTGGTCCTCCACCCTTCCTTGTCCAGATAGGGGTGGGTGGCTCCCCTCCTCACCCTGAGGATGTGCATCACCCCCTGGCCTGGCAGCTCACATCTCAAATTTCTCAATAACCAAGGTGTTTGGTGTCTTTCAACAGTTTGGCTTATCTGGGCCTGCCCAGGCTTTTAGCCAGCTCAAGGGAGAACAGCAAACAGGCCCAGCACAGGCCCTGGCCACATAGCAATGCAACCCCCAAGGCTGAACTAGTTCTTCTGTGTGATAGCACACGGGAAGCAACTCCTGTGAGGAGGAAGCTAAGGCAAAGAGGATGAGGTGAGGCACATCAGCCCAGACAAGGAGACACAGTATTGAAAGGACTATCACTTGATGCACTAGGTGCAGCTCAAGAAGGACAGTGCACTACTTCAGAGCTTGCTTGCTGCTGAGAGAATGACAGCCAGGGCTCAATGAAATTTAACAAAATTTACTGCAATAGCCACTCCCACCATTCAGTTAATTTGGACTGGTTTTCCTGCTTGGCCCTATGTAGACAAGGCCCACGCTGGAGCAGCACAGCAGAAACACGTGCAGCAAACCTGAGAAAGGAGGACTGCTTTCAGGCAGCATCTCCTCTTTGGAACCAGGGTCTCGGAGAGGGTCTGCAGGGCTCAGTGCTCCTGGATGAAGCTGCTGCAACTCTGTTTTCCCCAAAAGGTAGTCATTAATGTGCCGAGCGAGCTGGTGGTGGAGGGCTAACCCAACCATTGAAACCACAACAGTTGAGGCTATGACGATTTGGGGAAATACCTGCTGATTGGAGGGGCAACACATCAGGGACCTGCCTGGAGAAGCCTGGAGGATGAGGGCAGGGAGAGCCCAGCTGGGCAGCACAGTGCAGCAGTGGGTTTGAAAATGCTGGGGCTGGGGCTGGGCCCTTGGCAGAGGGTGACAGAGAGAGAGACCATATAATTCAGCCCAGCCAGGGCATAGCCTCACCCCACGGACGAGGCTGGGAGGGTGAGAACCTACAAGGCTGGGCTATCTCCCAGTGCTGGATCCAGCCCATTCTTGCAGGGTTTAAGCCCTCTTAAACACTCTGCCATGTTGTCTCCCTCATTGCCCCTCTATGCTGGGCTCCCGGTATGGGCTGGGTGCGTTTGACCTCATTTCCAACTTGCATCCTGCCGGTACCGCCCTCACTGGGTGCTCCCCAGGGCAGGGCAGAGGCAAAGAAGCAACAGCCATGCTCTGACATCCCCTCCTTCTAGCCAGGCAGGGCCTGCATTCCCAACACAAATCTTTCCAGCAATAGAAATGAAGATGAGATCCCTGCCACGTGTAACCTGGGATAAAACACATGCTGCCCCACGAGAACAGCACCCTAGAAAGGCGGCAGGGGGCCCCACCGACCACAGCAGAGCCACAGGAGAAGCTGTGCTGCAACAGCGAGACCCCAGCACCCACACGTCTGCCCAGGCATTTCCGATGGCTGCTGGGGAATGTGCCCAGATCCCATGGTGATGGGCAGCGCTGGAAACCTTCATTGGCTGCATACAGCCTGCACCACAGTGCTGATTTGGGTGGGTAGGACCTGTGCCCAGAGCACAGAACAGAGACTAAGTGGACAGTGTCTGAAAACCTATCTTGTCTTTTCTTTCTTTTTCTTCTTCTTTTTTTTTTTTTAGTACAAGGTAAAACCTTTATTACAACTTTTTGTTCATAGGTATACAACATCTGAAAGACAGATATGGGGAAAAAAGGTAATATTGTTATAAAATGTCACATTTATTGCTACATTACTGTTATATACAGGACAGTTCTCAAAATCTACTTTAAAAAAGTTAGGATTATTTAAAAATTCCAAATAATCCAGCCAGCTGTTTTGACACTTGTATAAAATTATTTAAAAAAATGAAAACAATTCATATCTTGAGGCACTCAGAAACACAATTTTATCCCCCAATTGTGATTCATTTCAAAGAACAATGCATTTCCCCACCCCCAAATACTTTATTTTTTTTTTTTTTGCTGGGTTAGGCATATATATATATATATTTACTATATATATAGTTCAAAACTATAATGTGTATCTGATTTAAGAACAAGGATTTCAGCCACTTAAGTACATCTGGATTTACAGGTAGGCAGCATAAACATCAAAAGCAAGGACCATTTTTTTAAAGGCCAAAAAACAAAACCAAAACCAAAAACTTTCTACGGGGTTAAAAATAAACAACTTCCGCAGGCATCTCCCATCTGCTCTCCCACCCCCCTCCTACAAAAATATATAGAAAAGAGCAACCCAGTAACGCTTCGTTTCCCCAACGAGCTGGAGCCCTCCATAGAAAAGGTCCAAGCGTGTGGTTGGGGTCACCCCTGCTCCACTTCACCAGGCGCGTCTTTCTCATCTCCCAGCAAATTAACCACCACTGGCAGGAGGGCGCACAGCTTCCTACAGCTCCTTCCCTCCCCGAGAGGCCCCATGTTACAAGGTTTGCTCAAAAGCTGGTGGGTTTCAAGTGATTTGGGAAGACGTGGCACCGGCAAGGGGGAACCGCGGTGTCCCCAGCTCGCTGCTGCAGGAGCTGCTGCGGGGAGCTCCACGGCTCCCCAGGCACAGCCCAGGGATGCAGGGCACAGGGATGCTCTTCGGCAAAAGGCCTTGGTACCCGGGACACCCCATTTTGAAGCAAAACCCCCTTATGCTCTCCTGTACTGAACCCCACAGCTGCACTGTGCCAAGACGTAACACGGTGTGAGTTTTATTCCCTCTCCTTCCAATGCGGTGGGTGCTTGGCTGGACCAGGGTGGGTATTGCAAGACCCGAGGAGCAAGAGGCATACAAAAGCAGAGGAACAGAAATACCGCCATGGAGACCCATGGTAGGGCTGCCTCTTGCCCCCGAGGGCAGGATGCAAGATGAACACAGAAGTTTTGGCAGAAATGACACCTGCAGCTTGCACCGCCCTCCTAACCAAAGAGCACCTCCATGCTCGTCTCGTGCAGGAGTCCCACAGGCAAAGGCACTGCAGCTGCCAGCTCTCCAGAAGGGGTGAATTGCCCTGAAGATCAAACGCTCTGCACAGAGCACCAGGTCCCCCACACCTGCCTCAAGGGCAGCAAGGCAGGGAGAGGCAGCCATGCTGCAGGACTGACCTGCAGCATCCACCTCCCAGATCCTCCCGCCTCCGCCCCAGCGGATGGGCAGCTAGTGGCATGGCTCTGCCCCACTGCAAAGAAATCCACGGAGGCCGTGCATGAAGGGAAATAGCTTGGAGGTGCTGGCTGGAGAGATTGGGGAGCGCAGGAGGGAGGAAAACACAACTTCAGGCTTGAGGCAGTTGAAGATCAGCCAAGCCAAGCCAGGCATTAATACAGCAGTCCGTAGAGCCAGGCAGCAGCAAGGCGGGACGCAGCTTCTGCATTCAGCGGTACTGGGGGATATGGTGCAAGATGAAGGATGCTGGTAGTGAGCCACCAAGCATTGAGCAGAAGGCACAGGAGGGTGAAGGGTGCACAGAGGAGCCCTGGGACCAGGCCTTGCCCCCTCCAATTCAGTGCTCGGCTCCTGCAGCGTGAGTTGGAAGGGGTGTTCCTGCAGTCTCACCCCTCATTTACACCTCCCACCCCCCCAGCTTCAGGGCACAGGTCTTGAAATGCTTTTGGAGCTGCTAGAAATGAAGCCAGACCTTGAGAGCAGGAGGGAGCGGGAACTCTGGCAGTAATGGACCAGAGCAGAAAGAATGGGCTGGGATGGGACCTGGAGAGCCCTGGGGGAGAGGAGAGGGGGTTGCATAGGATTTAACAGGGCAAAGACCTTGTGCAAGCTTGTGGTATAGAAAACAGGTCTTGCTATTGCTGGTGTCAAGCAGGAACAGGGGAATCTAGTGGCCACGGCTTGCTCCAGGCTAGCCAGCACTGCACCTCTGGGGCTGATGGCTTGTCCTGGCCCAACTCCAGTACTAGCTTTGCTTCACCTCCCCATTCTCAGCTCCTTTCTAAAACCCCAGGCCAGGGGCTTGCTGAAAGTGGAGCTAGCCCAGAGTCACAAGCACAGCACACAGCCGCGCCTGCAAGAGGACCATGGACTCCACTGGCACTGAAGATGGCAGCCTCCTCATGGGAGCAAAGCTCAGGGATGCAGGGGATTGGGGGGTTTCAAAAGCCTCCTGTTTCTCAAGGCCACCCTCGCCTGCCGAGGGGGAGGATGCGCTGAATCGTCCAGCAAGGGCCCAGGGCCCAAAGGCTCTGCTGGCTTTAGCAGATACACACATGAGACGCAAAGGACCTTTGAGAGTGGTTTCTGCACTGAACCTGAAATTGCAGACTCCTGGGGAAATCCCAGTCTGATTCTGTCCTTCCTGTTCAATCGCTACTGGGCAGCAAGTGCAATACCTCTAGGAAACCGGCTCATCACTGACACATGGGCTAGGGGAAAAAGCCATTCACTGAAGTCACAGCTGGGGAGGTTTCACATCACACTTCTGCATTTCTCTGCTGGAGAGGGCAAAAACCCCAATTGCAAAGCAGCCAGACCCTTAGCCCTGAAGTGATGGCACACAGGGAAGGGGCAGCAAGCTGACCCCACCACATGGGGCTGGCATGGACCTGCTCCCAACAGCCAGATGCGGGATCTTGGGGTGCCCAGCTAACTCGACTGCCCCGATACCTGCAAACCATCTGCCCAGGCACTGCTGATCCCCTTGCTCCCCGGCTGGAGCTCAGTGCAGACAAGAGGGGCACAGACTGGGATTCAGATGTCCCGGGTCCTGTCCCTCCTGCCAACAAACCTCTGTAGGATACCAGTGCAAGCTTTAAAAGCAGGGGAGCAGAGAGCCCGAGGAAATGTTGGCAAAGAGATGGAGCTGAACTCAAGCCAGGCAGTTGCTTGGCTGTGAGTAGGTCTGACTGGCAGGTCACAGGCAGGGGAGTGACTGCCAAACCAGGGGTTAGCTGGAATTTTGCTCCCCAGGGTGTGCTGGCAGCGGCTGCGGGGTTGCGAGCAGGAGCAGGCAGACTGCCACTGCCTCCCGTTGATGCCGAGTGCCGTCAGTACGAGACCATAAAGGTGCAGTCTCTGGGAGACTGCAGCTGTTTTGCTCTGGGGCGAAAGCAGGTGAAGAGGGAGAAAGAACAAAAATCTGCAATTTTTACTGTTAATAAACTGGATTCCAGACACTCCCCAGCACCTGGTGGCATGCACAGCTCTCAGGCAGGATGTGCAGGTAGGCAGGGGGCTGCTTGAGGGGGAGGAAAGAGGAGATCCCTTGGGCTAGGGACCCACGGACTGCACCCCAGTGGCCGGCTGTGCCACATAAGAAGTGTCGCATTGCAGCTGTATGCCTGAGACCCCAGTTCTCCTGTTTGACCGCAATACAGCTCAGCTACTGCAGCCTGAGAAAAGAGAAACTAGAAAATGCACACGGGGGAAGGCAGCCTCTCCCGATTCCCTATCTGACAAAGGAAGCTCTGTGGGGGCTGTGTGGCCCCCAACGATGAGGTGCATGCAGCCCAGGAGAACCCATGCATGCAAGGCTGAGAGAGGAAGCAGAAAACTGAATGCCACCCTGCAGCATGTCACCCATCCGCAACACCTCTCTTTGCAGGACCACTGGCATGAGGGACGTGCAGACAGGCAGAGAAGCAAGTTTGGGGAGAAAAGTGATCTGTAAGATCGCACAGTTGAATGCCAGCAGAGCTGTGGGCTGGGGAGGGTGCAGACCCTGGCCCTCTTTGACCGTGACGCCTAAAGACGAGACTTCATTGCAACAGGCCGCTATTTCAGGGCTAGCCTGGTGGTATTTTGGGCACAGCACTTGACAGTGCTCATTTTTAGAAAAGCCACTTTCCCTGGCAGGTTACAGGCACCACGTTTACACTGAGCCAAACACACTGGCAAGCCAAAGTAGTTTTTCCTTGCTGCACTCCACAATTGCTCCCTATGCACCTGGAAAGCAGAGATGCCACTGAGGCTGCACTGGGCTGATGCAGGCAGCAAGCGCGACAGCACACAAAGCACCCTGTGCCATCCAGGCAGCTCCCAGGCACAGCACTACCAGTCCCTGACACTGCGCTTTCCTGCTGGAGGAACCAAGATCTCCTCCAAACCCTGGCACCAGGGGTCTATGCTCAACGACCTTCATCCAAGCCTTGCCAAGGAAGTTAGCTGGTTTTGCTGTCAAGAAAACAGCATCTCAACCGCCTCAATGCAGGTGAAAAGCTCCACCTCTGTTGCAATGCCTGGTAGTTTGGGGATGATGGGAAAGGCTCTGTCTCATCAGGAGTCCCCACTGGCCTGCAGAGCATCACTCAGGACTTGGAGGGGATGAAGGAGTTCAGCAAAATTTTGAACAAATCACAAATCTTCTCAAATTTCCAATTTTGTTGAGTTTCTGGATTTTTCTTGACTACAGTCTCTTTTCTTTAAATCCAGTTGTACATGACTGCCACCTCGAATTCTTGTTGCAAAATCAAAGTGTTGGGGAAGCACTTTTAAATTTTTTTTTGTACGGTTTCAAGCTTGCCAGGGCTGGGACATTGCTCTATCCCTCCCCGGTCCTGGGGCAGTGGCACTGAGCCAGCAAAAAACCCCGAGCAGCGAGTGCCCTGCCAGCCCCAGCACCGTCCTGCTGATGAGGCAGAAACACTTGCGGGATGAAGCAGCCTCTTACAGGCTACAGAAAGCAGTCAATGAGTCCCCAATTCCTACCCCAGAGCACGAATCGGGGTTGTCTGAGCATTTGGACCCGGCTGGGGGGTTACGGAGGCGCACTGCCCCCTCCCTGCATGTTTTACCATCTCCAAACTGAACTCGCTCCAGCATCTGAAGCACAACCCAACTCGGCAGGATGCTACAGGAAGACACGGCTTTTGCTGCAAGGGAGCTGCTCCACAGGGGCAAGGCTGTCACACATGGAGGAAAACCTCATCTGTCTCACGCTGCCCAGTGCTTAAGCAGGCAGAAGAACCCAAGGGAGGGAAGACTGTCATAACCTGACGAGCTAATTAGGCTGAAACACGTCTGTTGACACAGCCAGAAGAATGTGTATTCCTGGGCTGCAGGGACCACAGCCGCTGGCCTTTCCTGGCCTTCCCAGGGACAGCACTGGAGGCTGCTGTGGTCTCAGGTCTCACCATACAGAAGCAATGGTGGAAGCAGCGGGCTGTGGACAGGGAAAGCCAGGAGCACCCAAAAGCCTCAGAGCTATGGTTAGACCTTGCAGAGTCCCAGGGCAGTACCAGTGCCAGGGACAGCAGGGGAAGATGGTCCCATACTGCTCCGGCACTTTTAAGTGGCTCCTCTCTGAGATGCTACAGGGGCTGAGCCCATCATACGTGGGTGTAGGTGAGAGAGAAGCAATGTCCTGAGCATTTCCAGCAGGCTTTGCTGGAGCACAAAGCATAGCTATGAGCACAGAGGAGCACCAGGAGGTTATGCCAAAGCCTGGGTTTGCTAGGAAGTACCACAGGTCCTAATCCTGTTCGCCAGTCCTTGCCTTTCCCTGTGCCAAAGCAATAAATCTTCCCCAGAAGCACAGGCCAGAGAAGCAGAGGGGAGACGTGGACCCTGCTGCCAGGGGTCCTACTGTACTCGCTGACCCCATGTCCCCTCCAGGCCAGCACCCATGCCCTGTGAACTAACCTGCCTGACTGGGCTCTGCCAGGCAGATCTGGGCAGCAGCTGGCCCCAGTCCGAGAGCATTACAGACACTGCTGAGATGGGATTTAACATCGTGCTGGAGAATTGACCCCGTCTGCCTGCAGAGCTGGGAAGAACCGGGCACAAAATGTTTCAGAAGGGGAAGGAGAGGGAAGAAACAAGAATAAATTCCCAGTGGACGCTTTTCCATTGCCAGCTCCAGCACAGCTGCTGCAGCTCAGCACTGCCGAGCAGCTCTTCATTTGCTCCCGCACCTCCGGGGCACCCTGCCACACGGTGGGGCTGCTGCGGGTCTTCCTCCTCCTGAGCACACCGGAGCGGTCTGGAGTGACACTGGGGAGCCCTCGGAGCGAAGGAATCGTTGGCCCAGCTTGGCTGCTGAAGCATCTCACGCAGAATGGGTGCTTGCTGCTCCCTTTCTTTCCAGCACAGAGAGAGGAGCCCACATGCAAGTGACAGAAGCTACTTTGCATCCCCATGGCAAGCTGGGCAGCATGCTGAGCCGAGTTTGCCTCCAAGGATGCTTTGGAGATATGACAGTGGGTGAAGGCAGGGTGTGAAACCACCCCTCTCCCCAAAGCCTGCAGCGTTTTGCACTTCCAATGCTGGTGGCTCCAGTGCGGGGAGAAGCTGCGTGGAGATGGGGATCTTGCTGCCGGTCGCAGCTTGCTGAGGGCTGGAGTGAGCGCACGTGCCGGGTTACTGCCTCACTCCCTGCCACCTTGGGCTCCACTGCCTGCCACCAGCGTCTGCGGGTCCATCTGCTGCAAGGTCACTGGGCACGGAGTCCCGGTGCTGCCTTTGCTCTGTCCACCTCTTTCCAGTCCTCCAGCTTTGTTCAGTTCGCCTTTGTTCAGCACTGCCCCTGGAAGCGCCTCTGACAGCAGGCGTTTGCTCGGACGTATGGGCAAGAGGTGCGTTCGTCCACCCTGGGGTTTCCTCTTGCATCCGTGTTGCTTCTTTGCTTACCTTGAAAGTGGCCTAGTCCCTTGGTTCTCTTCCACCCCCCAAAACCTGCTCTCTCCCGGCAGCTTGTCCTCCCCATCACGACGCTCCGGGACAGCCGTGGGGCACCTCCTCTCCCAGACGGGACTGCGGCCTCCGGGATCCTCCAGGAGTAAAAGCAAATCTTGCAGAGACCCTCGATGGACCTTGGTCAGCTCCCGGGAGGAGCGGGAGCACCGCTGAGGGATACTGCTGCAACTTGCTTTGCTGTTTAACTTCCTTTTCCCAAATCAGAAGTGGCCAAAGCAAAGAGATGGTGAATTCAGCACATGAGTGAGTTTGTTTTTTTATAATGGAAGGTACAAGCCAGGCAAGGAAGAACATCCCCTCGCTGTGGCTACATTCGCTTTTAGTGGCTTTCAGAGCCGAATCTGAGAATTCCTCTCTTTATATCCAGTCTCTCTTAATACAATTTTAATATTCTGGTTGATCCTAAAGATGCAACGTTAACTATAGAAACAGCAGCAGAAAAGCGTGGGGTACAAGACATTTTTTTTTATACAAAAAAAAATTCTTTTCGTTGCTTACAAAACATATGCAAAAGAAGCTAAAAAAACCAAAAGGCATTGCTATTTGTTCTACATAAAAAATCTCATAACTAATGTTCTTTTTTTTTAAAAAAGAAATATCAAGCTTAGGCACAATTTTGCTGCTGGCTGCTTGTGAACAAGCCAAGAGAACACGCCACCCCCTCCTAACTGAGTGATATGTATTGACTGTTCTGCACTTTATACTTAAGGCAATTTTTTTGTTTTCGCTTTGTTTTTGACAAAGTGTTTTTTCCACCCCTTACGTCATGCTAGGATCCGTCCACGTGTGTCAGTATTAGCAGTACTAAAGTTTATGGTTCGAGAAGGTTGCAGGTCACACCAACGGTTTTCTTCCTACAGATCTCTGTATCCAGAGGAACAAAAAGATCTACAAATAAAAAAAACAAAAGCCTGAAGTGAGAGAAACCCAAATGAGAATAAAACGCTGCTCCTTGCGTGGGGGGGCTGCAAGCACCCCTACCACAGCCTCATCTCCGCAGGAGAAGTCAGCCCCAAGGGCTCCATGTGGCCGCAGCGGAGCTGAGACATGAGCTCGCTATTCTGCCAAGACACTGGCTGTGCCTTTTTTTTTCAGGGCAGCCCCAGGCACCCACCGGCGCAGGGGACGTCGTGGGACCACGGCCCCTCCATGCGCTCTGGGGCATGTGGGGGCTACGGGCTGAGGCATTGCAGCCCTGCACAGGGGAGCCTCGCTGATGGGGTCAGCCTCTGACCCACCGCTCCTGGATCTGCTCAATCCCCCACCGACATCCCTGAACCATTTGGCCAAACAGGCTCAGCTACTCCTGGCCAAGCACAGGGTTCCCTTAAAAATGGGGACTGCCCAGCAGAGCCCGTGCCTGCCGTGGTCTCGCTGGGGAAATTTCACCTTCTGTGTCTTTCTTGGCATTTCTGGGACCTGCTCATTCCCTCCCACGGGGCCACCAGGCAAAGGAGTTGCTGGTTTCCAGTAGCCAACTGGGGCAGGGCTGGGAGGTGCAGAGCAGAGCTGAACTTGCTTGGGGTGGTGAGAGCACCAAAATCCTCTGTCCCGGCTATGGGGCTGCACCTCTCCTGCAGGGCAGAGGCTTTGGGTGTCCATAGAGGATCAAACAACATGCATGTGCAAGTCATTTACTTAAGGTAAAATTAAGAAGGACATTGGCTGGTGCCGAACGCATGGGGCTGAGCAGCCAAAGCAGAGCAGTGCGCGTCGGCTACGGGTTGGACCCGCAGCGGGGTGCTGGGATCACAGGGCGGGGGACGATACCTTTACATGTGTCCAACAGGGTTGTGACCATCTCCTAGACCAGGATGTGAAGCTGAAAGTGTCATCTGGGGATCTCCTACTACTCCGGACACTTTCTCCTCTTCCCGACGCTTCAAGCAGGCTGCTTTAGGGTTCAGATTGCGCTCTATGCCAAAAACAGCAAGGGAAGGAGGGAAGCAACCTCAGTTTGGGCAAACAGCATCACGCACGGCAGCAGCATCCGAAAGAGAGAGCGAGGGCAGAGTCCCAGGACAGACACGTGGGACCATGCGAGGAAACAACCTCAGTGCAAGCTGCTCTTTGCCTGCCGCTCCTTGCAGTGGCTGCAGTAACTTGGCCGGACCCCTGCTAGAGCAAAACCCCATGCCCAGCTGAAACACCATGCCAATTTAAACATGTGCTTGCTTCCAGAAAACCCCAAGTGCTTCAGCCAGCTCTGAGAGTTGAGGACTGAGTTTTCCAAAGCTGCTTAATGGGATCCAGGTGCCAAATTCCCATTAAGCATGAGGGGAGATGGACAGAGTGGCCTCGAATCCACCCTGGACCGAGGCTTTGGAAATCTCAGCCTGCCGCGTGGTGCACCCGAGAGTGCTGCTGGCGATGCAAACACACAACCTCGCACCGAAAGCAGGAGTCACAACAGAGATGCACGCGCACGCAGAGATGTGGGGGGAGAGAAAGGCCCCGAAAGGCACCTGCCAGCTGTTACCATACCTCGTACTTGCTGCTCCAGGCCCAGAATGACCTGCACCGCTTGCTGTAGGATGATCAGTTTGGTCTGTGCTTTGTCCGTTTTTAAGTGCATCTGACACATGCGTCCCAGTTCTTTAAAGGCCTCGTTAATGTCCCGTACACGCACCCTTTCCCTGGCGTTATTGGCCATTCTCCTCTCCCGGTCCCTCAGATCTTTGTCCTCCAGTGACAAGGCCTCGTCTGTACTGCTGGGTTCATAGCACCACAGGGATTAGTCAGGGGGGTGGTACCAAGGGGGGGGGCTATACGTTGCCGTGCTGGTAGTGCTTCTGGTGTCCACTGGAAATGGCTCAAACAGCCTCACTTTGCAAAGCCAATTCGTCTCGGGCGCTTCCTGGAGCAGCCCGGGCTATTCGGGCTGCACGTTGCCTCTGCGAGCCACGGGAAGGTGCTGCCAGCACGGAGCTGGGCTCCCACGGGGCTGGAGGGTGCTGCCGGGGGTGAGGGCGGGCAGTGGATGCAGTATCGACAGCGACACCTTCTCCCCTCTGCAAAATTTTGCCCTCCTGTTCATTTTCGGCTGAAAACTAGAAGTTCAAGGGGGGGCGTGTCTCAGCCAAAAGCATCATTTTCATCCCTCAAGGAAAGACTTTTTGGCAGAAAGCAAATCCCTCTTTGTAAGATTTCCTTAAAAAATTCCATCTGCAGCAAAATCCTACCAGTGAAGGCGTTTCGGGCAGCCGTGCCACAGCAGCGTGATGCAGTCTGGCCCGGCACCCTCTTACGGGTGGGGGACAGCACCGAGGGCAGGAGCCGAGTGCCCTGGCTGCTGCTGAGGGTCGGTCTTGGATGCAGACACTGAATCCAGGTCTTTCAATACAGCCAAAATCACTCTGGAAGGGGGTGATTTTTTCTTCCAGGCACGGTCAGGAGCTTTGGGAGAGCCTCCACCGCTGGCAGCACCCCAGGGGTGCCCAAAACAGGCAGGGACAGGGGGGAAGGCAGAGTCGTGCTGGCAGCATCTTAAATTGTGGCCTCGCCTGCAGCCCATCCCCTCCCAACCCCCAATTTACTGTACAGACGACCTTCTCCCCCAGAGCAAAAATTCTTGCAGGAAAGACACCTATCTGAAGAGGGTCCTTGGGTGAGACCTGGCACTGGAAGGACTGTGGCCTTCGGCTCCAGGGGAGCCATGCGGGGATAAGCCTTCACCAAAGAGGGGCCGCAGAGTCAGAGCCTTCCCGGGTGCATTGCGGGGTGTGGAGAGCCTCCAGATGTGCCCAACTGTGTGGAGGGGGAGCAACAGCTCTGCAGGCAAGTGTTTGCCTGTGTGAGACAGAGGGTTGCCCACTGTCGCTGCCTGCATCCTCTCCTTGCTGCCTTGTCCCTGCCCGTGTCCCCTCCTCACTGCCTCGGTGCCCCAGCCGACGCTGCCACCTTCTCTCCAGCACGTCCAGGATGGCTGGGGGGAGTGGAGTCACCAGCTACCCCGGCACCCAAGCCCACCCGTGGCAGGAACCCAGCTTGTTCCTCCAAGCACACACCGGCAGCCGCGGTTCCTGGCTGTTGGCTCTCCCCAGCAGGGAAGCAGCTCCAGCAGCGCCTTGCACGCCACAGCCGGGCAGGATGGAGCCGTCTCCCCGCCACCGGCGAGTGCTGCTGGCAGTTTGCACCACTCCGCGGGGTCCTCCGGGTTTTAAGGACGTGCGGTGCCTTGGCTGCCTTGTGCTCCACTCAAAAGGGGCACTGACCTCCCTGCCTGGCCCCCTGCAATGCCCCCCAATCTTCTCCTTTCCCTTCCTGTCTCGTTAGCTGCTGATGGCAGCAGGAGGATCGCGGCAGCCCTGGCTGGGCATGCGGGGACCCGACGGCCCCACTCCCACAGCAGCCCTGCAGGAGGGGATGTGGAGGTCGGCTTCTCTTCTGCAACGCAGCCCGAAGGCCAAACCCACCAGAGAAGGGACATCCTAGCTGCCTGCGCTAATGCCTGCTGATGGCAGCACGTGGGGCTCGGCTCGCTTCCCCGGCTGCGTCCAAGAAGGGTTTAAAAAGGGACAAGCGTGGGAGACCAAAGTGAACACGGTGCCAACTCTGTCTAGCCCCTGCCCCCCACCGCCCCTCGGCTCCTGCCTCGATCCGCAAGCAGCAAGTACAAGGTAGAGAGTGGGACCACCGAGAGGTCACGGCTGGGGACTGTCTGTAGGAGATCAGAAAGAACAGAACCAAAAAATAGGAACTCAAAATAAAAAAAATAAAAAGGAAGGGGAAATTAAAAAAGAGACAGGAAAAAATATACATGTTATGAAAGGCAAAAAATTACAAACTGAAGAGAGGCACAAAGGACTCCAACATCAATGCAACAGCAGAGGCCAGCAGAGAGGAGCACAGCCAGGCACAAACCACCGATGCGTGTTACAACAGCCTCTGCAGAGAGAAAGGGGGTTAACCTGCCACAGCACCCTGCGCATCAGGGCCGGGGAGTGGAAGCATGCACTGCGGGATGCAGGAACAAAGCAGCAAAGTCCTCCGGAGCAGGAAGCCAAGCCCTCCGCTTCCCCTCCCACCGGGACATGGCACCCGGGCAAGCACGGGTGGCCGAGATGGGCGCACACACATGTGGGAAGGGAGAGAAGGGAGCGAACGGAGTGAGTGTGCCCTGACAAGGGCGAGAGCCTGCAGCTCCAGACTCTGCTAGGGATGTGCAGTGCTCCCAGCTTGTATCAGAGACCAGTTTGTACAGGCAGTGAGGGCTGCTCAACCCTGGGCTCAGCATTTCCATCCCACTGCCCCTTGCATGGCTCCAGCGATCTCCAGGGGTTTGCCGGGTGCCCGCAATCCCAGGAGTGCAGTGGTGGGGACAGGAGCACAGAGCCCCATGCCAGGCAGGCAGGGAGGACAGGGCATCGCTCATTGCTGCTGCGGCTGCAGGCAGAGATGGGCTCTGTGCTTGGAGCAGCCCTTGGAGAGATGTCAGATCTGGGCCACCTCTGGGAGATTTGCTGGTTTTTTGGTTTTTTTTTCATTTTTGCTGGCCAAGCAGCTGAGCAAAACACCTGGCTGTGGAAAAGCAAGGACGGCGCAGGTGCCCCCTCAGGGACCAACATGCAGCACACGCAGTGGCAGTGGGGAACAAAAGAGAGAACAGCAGGGATGCAAAAAAAGGGGGGGGAAAAAAAAAGAAAAAAAAAAAAAAGGACATCAAGAGCCTTGGGAACCCAAGGCCACAAGGGAGAGAGACAGTGCGAGGCACCACAGCACATGTCACAGGAGACAGACAGACAGACAGCCCCGTGCCGATCAGATACGTAAAATATCACCACTCCGGGACCCTCACTGACCTCTAACTTGTTGCTCCAGGTTCAGTATGACTGATACGGCCTGGTGTAGGATTAGCAGTTTGGTCTGCGGTTTTTCGCTGTTTAGGTGGAGTTGGCACATGCGTCCGAGCTCTTTAAAGGCCTCGTTGATGTCACGGACCCGCAGGCGCTCACGGGCATTATTGGCGACCCTCCTTTCTCTCTCTCTCTCGGCTTTTTGCTCTGGGGGAAGAAGATCGTCCTCCTCATCCTCATCTTGACTAATGGTTTAAAATAAGAACGAGACAGGGACATTCCTCGTGTGCACTCTCAGCACTGGTCAACTCACAGAAAAGAAACACACGTCGAGGCACCGAGACGCCAAGCCCCGCGCGTGGCCCCGTGAGCTGGAGCGCTGCGCCCCGCGTGCCCCCACCGGGACGTGCCGGCCCGGTGCCCTGCGCTCAGACACAGGGACACACAGTGACTTTGGAGAGAAGCAATTAGGGGTCTTCTTCTGCCTCTTTTGTTTGTTTTTTTAAACAACAAAGAAAGAAACCACAACAATGCGATTAAGGCCTGAGCTTGTTGCTGGGAGATGCAGGGTGGCCCGGAGAAGGTATGGGGGTCAACACTGGTGTCCCAAGCTGGCTTTTTGGGAAGACAGAGCCCTCTACCTCCAGGGCAGGAGGTGGCTGCAGTCTGGCAGGAGCGGGGCTGGCGCTGCCCCTCCGGGCAGCATCACCCTGGCGAGGTCTCCAAGCCGATGGTGAGGTTGCAGCACGTTGGAAGGACTCTACCTGATCTGCTGCCACATATCTGGCTGGATGTGACAGAGGATACAGGAGCCCAAAGCAGACAGCGGAGACAACCCAAAGCAGGGAGGAGGTCAAAACCTTCCCCACCCCTGGCCGAGGGGAGCCGAGCGCTCGGTCCTTTCTGTGCACGGCCACAAGCAACACCCCAAGCGACCACGCAGGCAGGTGCAGCTCGTGTGGATAAGGCGCAAGCCCTCTGCTTTATGAGCATGAGGAAGCCCTGTGGCCGCAGGGACGGGAGCCAGCAGGAGAGGGTGGCAGGGATCCTTCCCTGGCACGGCCCAAAGCGGCCAGCCATGGGGAAGCAGTGGGAGCCCAGGCTGTGCCCGCTTCTGTGTGAAGACACACAAGGCTCCCGCGGTGGACAGGGGCTGGCGGGTCTGCACCGCAGGACGACCCCCGGCCTCACCAGGCTGAGCCCAGCGGCCGGTGGGTCACCGCGGCCATACCCCAGCCCAGATGCCCCCAGCCTGGTTACGGAGTAAGTGAAGGGAGAGACCTGTTCAAAGAGCACCTTGTTCTGTTCCGGGAGGGTTTCAGCTCTTTCTTCTCCTCTTCTGAGTTATCTGCCACCGACGTGTTCTCTTCATCCTCCTTCTCTTCCCTCTTTATCTCGCTGGTTCCCGAGGAGACGCTGCTTCGCCCCAGCCCCCCTGACAAGCCTGCTGAGGAAGCAGAGCCACACATGGAGGTTGGAGGGGCCTGACCCACAACAGAGGGCTGGGGGGGTCCCAAGGCCCTGCTCCTGCTGCGCTACATCGCCAGCATGCGGCATCCCAGACTCATCCTGCATTGCCGGTCCGCAGCAAGAGGAGCTGGAGCCGTGCTGACTCTGCCCTGCCACCACTCCCCAGTTCTTCTCTCCCCACCTCCCAGCCCCTCCAGAATCAGAGCCCAACCTCCCCCAGTAGAGCAGGGCCCTTATGCACCCACAGCTGGCAGGAGGGACAGGAACATGTAGGTCAAACCTCTGGAAAAGGCTCAAGTAGAAACTGCCCTGCAGCTGCTGCAAGGAAGCACTGGCCTTGCAAGAGCACCCATCTTCCCCAAGGCTGCTGCTGCACAGGGCTGGACCTAACGGGTGACCCCAATCACCCCCACGGCAGGCGAGCCTCAAGCATGCACACGTGCAGAGCTGCCTTACCGCTGTATGTGTCTTGCTGCCTGTTGAGGTCAGGGAGTGAGCTGGGCTGTGACGGAAGTGTGACATGGTTGTGGAGCATGCTGGGGTTGCTGGACAACCCATCTTCGGGGTGACCTCCTCCCACCTACAGCAGAATAAGCAGAGCAAGCCTTGAGGGGGGGAAGTGTCACGGCCAGCGGGCATGGGCATAGTCACCCCGAGCACAGCCGTGGGGCTCCGCAGACCAGGCTGAGGCACAACCGCGTGCCCTCCTCGCACACTCCCACCACCCAGAGCGTGGGCATGCAGGAGGGAAGAGCCAACCTGCTCCAGCACCAGCTCTCCTCCGGGGACCATGGCGGGGGCACTGCAGAAAGCAGCTCTGGGCCCTGCACATCAGCTGGACCAAGCAGAAAGCCCCCCTCAGTGCTGTCTCCCCCCGCTGTGGAAAAGCCTCTCTCTGCCTGGATGCGAGGCTGGCACACTGGAGAGGACACCCTGCCTGGGCTGCACGTGTCCTGTCTCCATCAAGCACCAACATCTCTGCCACCTCTTCAGTGCCACCAGAGCAAGGGACATCCCAGCAGCACGAACTTCGCTCTGAAGGGCCTGGACGCAAAGGGTGAGAGTCAGGCAGCCTTTCTGAGCCTGCACTATGCCGGCCAGGGATCAGCAGGACAGAGCCAGCCCTGCTGCAGACACTCTTGTTTCTGCAGCTGGCAGCAGTTTGCAACAGAGGACACACATGTGATTCATCACTTAGTAGTAGAGTCTGGGGACCTTGGAAGGGAAGCCCATCTAGTTCTCTAAAGAGACTGGAGACATGTTACTGTTTGCTGCAGCAGGCAACCAGCTCTGCCAAAAACGTGCTCCCGTGGTCACCAGCCTCTGGACAAGGGGGGACTCTGGTGACCCAGCAGGGGACCTGAGCATCCACATGCTCAGGGCACCCAGGATCTGTTGTGCTCCCTGGAGCCTGAATGAGCCATCACACATCAGCACTGCCCACGTGCACGGAAGGACACGGTACCTGCCTGAACAATTTGGAGCAGAGAAGTCCTGGTGATATATATACCTGCTCTCTATACCCGCAGTCCTGCCCTGCACCAGATCCCTCTCGTCCTTCTCCCTGCATCCCCCAAGGACAGCTTGAAGCTGTTTTGAGGGATTTCCATCCATGTTGCAGGGGAAGAAGAAGAACTTTCACCACCTCTGCCTGCCTCAAGAAGGGGCATAAGCGAACTGCATGTGGGGCTTGTGCCCAAGAGCCACCACTGTGCTGAGCACGGATCCAACACCCCCTGCATGAACAGGGCAAGCCACTGCCCTTTTGTGCACGTCACCCGTTCAAAGCTGTCAACAGCTGACCCAAGCTGGTCCACACTGAGCTATTCTCACACCAAAGGCAATGGCAATGTCCCTCTGGATGGCAGGGGACCCTGTGACGTGGGTCCCCGGCATGTCCCCGCCAGCTGCCACGATGCTTCCACACTTACCAGACTTGGGTGCCTGTTTCCCAGGGACATGACCGAGGCAGGGAAGGCCTGGCCCAGGCTGCCCACGGTGGCACTGTGGGCCGGCGCCGAGCCCAGGAGCCCATGCATGTCCCCGTGGTTGCTCGGCATGGCAGCTGTCTGGCCCACGGCGTGATTCCTCAGCACGTGGATGGCTTCATCCAACCTGTCTTCCATTTTGTTTTGCTTGAAGAACAGGACAGAGAAATATGTCCGTGTTAATGTGTGTGAAGCCAGCAACCCATTGCAGCTTTCTACGCTAAAGAACGGCTGGTGGCAATCGTGCACTCAGCCACCGCAAGGCAGGTATGGGGAGAAATAACCCCCTGATCCAGTCAGTGCCGTCTCCTAAAGGCACAAGGGGTCACACAAGCGGAACTGCTCAGGAAAGGGAGGCAGAAATCTGTTCGGCTGGGCCAGACCCACAGGGATGTACACGGGCCATTAACAGGGCGAGGGTGCAAAGCTGCTCCTCTGCCTGCAAGGCTCTGGGCTCCAGGAAGCAGTGCCCAACTCTGCTCAGCTGCTTCCAACCAAAATGTCCATCTACCAACTAACCATCTTCCTTCAGGCCCCAGACGTTTAGGGGACAGGACTTTACCCAAAAGTCCTTTACCGTTAGGCGCACAAGGGATGGAAGAGAAAAGAAGGCAGATCTTTCGGCGACACTTACTAAAGTGTGGAGGCTCCCTTCGTAGCTGGGAGATAAGGCACCCTGTCCGCTCGCTCGAGACCACTGGGATGTGCCTGCAAACAAACGGGGAGAGCTTGGGACCGGGCATGGCTGCCACTAGATGGGGCTGGAAGCTGGGCCACCACGCTGTGCATGGGCCACCATGGCACTGCACGGCACTGTGGGCTCGCCTCTGCTCTGCCTCAGCAGGAAACTGAGCTCAGGCCTTCAGACTTCGAGAGGTTTTTAAATTTATATCATCTCAGTGAGCTGGCAGCCAGCACACACGCTGTGCTCGCTCCGAGCCCACGGCAGCAGCAGGCTGGTGGGTGTACGTTGCTCTGCTCCCCGGGCGCTGAGAAGCCTCAGCGCCAGCTTTGCTGGGCAGAAACGAGACCTCTCTCACCAGACACGAGCAAAAGCAAAGACAGGCTTTCATCAGGCGCTGAAAAGGGTTTTTAAATAGTTGGCTGCTTCCCAGTTCCCACTGCGCTCCTCCCACGGGAGACAAAACCAGGGACACAAACTCTCCCAGCCTCTCCAAGATGGGAGGCTCAGACGCAGGGTCTGTCTGAAGGGCAGGACTGACACTTTAACTCAAGCATGTGGCGGTGCTACCATGTGGGCCAGGCTCACACCTCCAGCAAAGCCGCCTGATAAAACTCCTATGCAGAGGCAAAGCCAGGCACAGGCAGAGCCATCGTCCTCACACATGTGGCGTTCGCCGCACCCAGGTGCTGCTCGGCTCCAAATGGGGGAAGAGCTATAACCAATTAAAGCAGACAGACATACAACTTCACAGGAGACATTTAGAAAGTATCTTCAAGTTTGCTTGTCCTTCCTCTTCACTCTCCTGCTTTTAAAAATAAATGGGATTTGACGAGATTGCCAAAAGCATCTTTAATGAGGGTTTGGGGCTGATCTGGGAATTACGCTGCCTTGGACCTCCTGAAAGCAAACCTCACATTCCCTTTTACACAGAGAGCAACATTTTTCACCTACCTGCAAGCCCCTGAGGGGAGCCGACCGGTGTAGAGGGGTTCGATGAGAAGTTATTGCTAGAGTGATCGGGGGAATAAATCTGGAGCGAGAGAAGCAGAGCACGGTCAGCAGCACCCACCCCTGTGATGGCTCTCCCCCTCCCCAGCAGCACCGCCAAGCCCAGTTGCAGGGAGGACCTCCCGATGGACTCACCTGATGGCACCTCCCTTCCCATACCCATACCAGCTCCCAGCCTGCTAGTCCCCCTGCCGCTCCCCCATTAACGCCGGGGTCTCTCTCTGTCCCCACTGCCACCGCCCCTGCAGCTACAGCCTCCGTTCTTCAGGTCCCACCTCGAAAGGAAGCAAGAGCCCCAAGAAATTATTGCAGGGTGCAGTGCTGGCACCCCTCTGCCACCATGCAGAAGCAAAGGTCCTTGCACTGAACAGGACAGAGGCAACCCCGAGGTCTGATAGCCCAGTGGGCCAGTGCCCTCCAGTTGGAACCAGCACACACAGGGCCAGGACTACTGGGACCTGCAATTCCTGCTACGAGGGCTGCATAGGGTCATCTTGCCAGACCAGTACCAGGCTCTGCGATGTACCATGTGCCAGACCAGCTGGCTGCAGAGCCAGCTCATGGGCATGGGTCTCCAGGACCACCATAACGTCCAGTGCCTCAGCTTCCCCATCTGCAAAAACGTGCTTTTGCACAGTGCCTGGACTCAGTATGGCACACACAGAGGGTGGAAAACCCTACCCTCAGAGGCTGCCATGTTTTTGGGGTGCATTCACCCAAACTTCTCAACATGTGCATCTTCCCTGCTGCCTAGAGGGTCCCTGTTATAGAGGGGAGGTCCAACACTGCAACAGGATAGGGACCGGGGTCAAGGATCTGCAGAAATTCTTACTGAAGCTAGTGCCTTCCCGAGCGCGTCTCCTGAGCTCCCAGCTGTGGTTCCTCTGTTACCTGCTGAGAGAGGACACAGACATCACTGCCAGGGCACTAGAAATGCAGCAGGACAAGGCACCTGTACAAGACCTTCTCTGGGGTCACCTGCTCTGAGATTGAAACTTCTTGCTCTTACTGCTTTGCTTGAAAATTAAATGGATGCTGAGCTCAGAGCAGCCCGGACAAGGGCACACACACCCCGGCAGCTTTCGTGGGGCTGCAGGAACATCTTTATAAGATGCTGGGTCGAAGGTGTCATGCCATCGCGATCAAATGTCTCTGCTGCAGCACGGCCTATTTTCGCAGGGCATCTTAAGCCCCTGCAATCCCAAACTTGCTTCCCTTCCTCTAAACAAGTTTTTTTCTACAAATCAAGGTCAGGCTCTTCATTTCCTGGGGAACACGAGTTCATTTCAGTAACAGGTTTTGTAACAAGTTCAACAGGGTTAGAGATTAAAGCACTCGGGGGTTTAACGTGGTATCCAAATGCAGCACAAACATTCCTATTCCGGATTTAGATGAACGGCTTCACACATACCCCCGCCTTCCCGCAACGCAGGTGCAAATCCTTCCCGCAACTCATTTAAGCCATGGCACCTCCAAGAGATAATGTCACAGATCCTGGTCTCCTCCCAGATCCACCAAGCGAGGTGTAAACCCCCAAGCCAGCACCCTGTTTCCCTGCTACAGCCTGCCCAGGTATCCAGCACCAATAACCTCACTGCACCTCTTCCTCACGCAGTAACTCCATGCCCAGGTGACACACAAAGGATAAAAAGCGCCTGGGTACACTGGACACGTGTATCACAGCCTCAAGGGCCAGAGGTTTGCACAAGACTTTGATTTTCCAGTTAAGCCTCTGCGTGGCAGTGGAGCAAGAGGGGTCATGCTGGAGACCACCACGCGCCTGAGGACCGTACGTACCCATCATGCTGTCTGTCCCGCTGATCGGGGGGGTGTGACTGGAGACACCGTACGGCGTGGAGGCAGAGGAAAAGCCAGACACAGAGGGGAGTCCGCCATTAACCTCTCCTGAATGAAGCTGGTAGTTCTGGCAGAGAGGAGGAGAGGGGTGAGAGGTGCCCTTGAAAGGCCGCCGCGCTTTGGGGTCCGGGCCAGGACCCAGGTCCTGCCTGTGGGCAGCCGCCCCAAGCCAACAGCTACGGGACGAGGTGATGCGCTGCCACTGGCCGGCCGAGCAGAGCCCCCCAGCCCGCCCGTGAGGCAGCGCGGGGACGCGTTACCATGCGTTCGTGCTGATGTAAACTGTTGAAGCCACTGGACTGCGGGAGTGGGGAGGAGGAGCTGCCCAGCATGGCACCGTAACTCGACTGGCTCATGGCACCCGGTGAACTCCACAGGTCTGGTGAGTTATGGAGCCCGTCTGGAAGGAAAACCAGGGCTGAGCGGGGCAGAGACGCTGCCCACATGGCGGCAAGTCAGCCCGGGCTGAGGGGCTGCGTCCGTCCCCATTGCGTCCTGCCTACGCTGAGCATCACCTGCTGAGCAAATCGGAGCCATTTCAGGGCTGCTTCGTGTCTCGTGCACTCCTGCCCCGAGCTCCCTCCATTTCACGTGCTGTGGAATTCCTGCCTGGGTTGTTAATAACTCACCTGCCATATAAAAGGCTCCGGGATACACAGTGCTGGGAGGTTTTGAGGGAGTATATCCAGCTGGATCCCTGCTGTAGTCATCACCTGAGTTGGATGGATACACCTGCGGGGCAGAAAAGGGGTTAAAGAGAAGTCCTTGGCCACTCCATGGCCCTGCATCCTCCCCACGGGTCACCCCACCCCATGCAGCTTCACTTTTATTCATCGAAGCAGATGACAGTCAGTCCCACAGCAAAGCCAGGGGGAACCGAAGCAGCTCAGCCGAAATCATGGCTCTGCCAGGGAGCGACACCGGGGACGGGGCCGTCACACAGACACATCCCATCTGCCTTCCCGTAACATCGCAGACCCCTGCAGCCCCCTCCTACAGAAGATGCCGGCACCAGCAGAAGTTTCAACTCTCTGCTCTAGTTCCTTTTTCTGCGGTTATAACTTTTTATGGGTAACCACAAAAGCTGTCATTTCTGTGTGCTAACCCCGCACCCAAGGACGTGAGCTGGGAGGTGACAAGAGGAACGGACGAGGCTTCGGGACCTGCTCACTGCTGTGCTGACCCTGTCGTGTGCTGGGCTGCAGCACCGTGACGGCAGCAGCCGCTCCTGAGCACGGCCTCTGCTCAAACCCTTCACAGAAATCAGCCCATCCTGCTCGAGGGGAAACTGAGGCATGGAGGAAGCTGAGGTCTGAGCAGTCCCTCAAAAGGGATATCACACGGGAGGGGATATCTCTCGGACAGCTTTTGGCCAGACTTCTGCAGCACCGTTCAGCTACGTTATTTAACAGCATATTAAGCAAAAGAAAAGGCTTTTTTTTTTTCTTCTAAATTAACCAAACCCATCCTAGAAAGCCCTTACCGAAAATCATCTTGTGCCCGTGCAAAAACATCCTTTTTTTTTTTTAAAGCAGAAATTCAACACGCAAAGAAACTGAAATGCCACTTAAAATTACGTGAGAACTTTTGTTACAACTTATTTTCATCCCCATTGATTCATTCTGAAACCACCAATAATTTTTTTTTTTAAATACACACGAAAGCAGAGGCGGGTGCAGGAGGCTGGCTGGGTACGCTCAGCCAGCTCTGCCTGGAAGACACAGCTCTCTTTGGAAAGGAAACCTGCCCTGAGTTTCTCTTTCCCCACACCCAGCCAACTTCCTCTGACCCCTTGTCTCACCCAGCAAGGGGCAAAATCATTCTCTATTTCTGTAAGTGCCCAGAACACCAAGAATTTCTTCTTTTATTGTGGGGGGGTAATAGAAAATAGGGGTCTTTTTGTTAAAAAAAAAAAAAAAAAAAAAAAAAGAGCTCTGAAAAACACCAGTGATTGCACTTAAATATATCGCTTCATTTTCCTCTAGCAGCCGTGGTTCCTGCTTCTCGGAGCAGCTTCCCTCAAAGCTGGGGGGGGTGTGGTGTGGTGTGTTCAGAGCCCCAGGGGCATCCCCAGCCCCTTGCCACCCATCGGCTCTTGGGCAGTGGGTAGTCGGACACCGCAGGGCAATGGGGAGCTGAAAGCAACTTGTGGGCATTGGTGCTACAGATCGAGACTGGGGAACTTGTAAAATAAAGAAAAAAAAAGAAATAAAAATAAAGAGAGGGGGAAGGGAAAAACCTGACAGACGCTGGCAGCTGCCCTTCGTCCCTCATTCAAAAAAGAAAATTCACGGCACTTCGCCTTTGCGTGGCATCGCAGGACAGCGTCGAGGTGAAGCGGGCGCACGGAGCTGCGCGTGGGCAGCGCGTGCGGCCGGGGAGAGCAGGGGAATGGAGGAGGCTGCAGAGAACAAGAATCCAGTAAATTGACTTTTCCTATAATTTGATTAAATAGCGGGAGCTGGGACAGGGAATCGAATGAAGCACGTCTAATAGCCCCGCGCCATCTGCCAGGGGCTGGCACCTGGCCAGCGCGCGAGGCAGCTGTGCGGCAGCGGAGCGAGCGCGGGGGGGCCGCGGCGAGCTGCAACATCCATTTAATAAATCCAGAGCGAAAATAAGAAGAATGAAATAGCAGGGATGAGCGCACCAGGGTTGCAAAGCAGGGGGGAGTTCGCCTTGCGGCATATCCGCTCCGCCATTCCTGGCCTCCCCCCCCCATCTCCTGTTGGATCCCGAGGGGACCGGGTTTCACCCCAGGAATGACCCTGGCCCCTCCAAATCCTTCATTTCCCTGCTCAACGCACAGGAGGCTGCGAAAACCCAACTCCGCTCTTCCCCGCAACCGGCCGAACGAAGAGCATCCCAGCCCCGCTGCGTGCGGGGGAGACGGCCGAGCCGGCGGCCACCGGCCAAGCGCCGCAGGAAACAGTAAATCAGCGCCAGGTCCCCATTCCCCACCCCACGGCCCCAGCCCTCGAGCCGGCGGCGGCCTCGGGGACCTCCAGGTGAGGTCATTTCCTCCGGCTAAAATTGCCAGCGCGGCGAGAGAGCCGCTTGAAAAAGCCCCAACGCTGGGATTCGCAGGGCTTTGTGGTGTTGGGTTTTGGTTCCCCCCCCCCCTCCCTGTTTTTCTTGCTTAAATGCATGAACTGGGGTGGGACTTCAGGCAGACTAAAGCTAAACAGAGCAGTGACCAGACTGTGAATTCGCAGGCTGAAACGGCTCCCAGCCACCGCACTCGCTGCGGCAACAAAATCCCGCAGGAACCGTCTTGCACAAAATCCCTCCTTGGCTTCCTCTGGCAAAGCCAGCCGATGTGCAGCCAGGGCTTGGGAGCCTCATCCAGCCCCGGGGTCCTGTGCCCGGACACACCAGCCTGCAGAGGAGCACGACCGCGAGCACTAACCCTGCTTTCCAGCTCCATGTCGCAGGAACACTCGAAGGGTCTCCATGCCCCGGGAGCAGCCCCGGCACATGCCGCTGCCCCAGCCCAGCACTTATTTCACAAGAACTAACCCCAAAAGGCCGTGGGTTACAAGCGCAGGTCCCTCCGCAGTCAGAGCCGCTCGGACCCGGCATCCCGTTTCACATCCCTCTTCAACCATCTCACGCCACCAATGTCTCTTGGTGCCTTTGGCAGAATCACTCCCCTTTCAGCCACCCTCAACTATTCCAGCCGCTGACCTCTCTGAATTTTCAAAGCAGCTAGGGAATTACAGATTAAAGCACTTTATTTTAATAAGATGCTGATTAACCTATTTATTTTGCACGGGGTCCAGCGATAACACGGAGCGGGCTCCTGCGCAGAGGAGTCAGACAAGAAAGAGCCTTTGATCCGCTGCCTTTGAGGCCGGCAACTCCTTCTGCTCCACACCTCTCTCACTACCTCGGTGCCCGTTTCTGTCCCCGGGTGTAGGAAGTCCAAAAACAAACCAAGAAGCCGGAGGTAACAGCAACGAGAGGGCAGCGGGAAGAGGCAGCATCAGCCCGTACACCAAAAACTGGAGCTTTGCGGTCGAGGGGCAGCCAAAGCGAGAGCCAGTGCTTTCCGGGCTGCAAAAGCCAGTGCGCGGGAGTTGGCTCAGACACAGGGAAGGGGCTGAGTTTTGGCAAATGCCGAGTGGCTCTTCCTGTGGGAATCGGGGCCCTTTAGGGCACTGCCAGCATGATGGGCAGCAAGCCCCATCACCTTTGAAATCTGAGGCCAATAAAGGGCCATTTGTTGGGAGCGATGTTTTCCCCACATGTCGACCGGAGTTTAAGAGCTCCGAATTTCACACAGAAACCCAACGCAGCGATACGGATTCTGCTTCGAGCACGTTTTGCCTGTTAAAACATAGACTCTTGGAGCAACTCAGCACTGCTGACTGGAGCTGGTTTCTGCATGATGTGGGTCCACATGGCACCTCCAATACCCTCCAGTCTGCGAGCCCAATCCGGTAAGCCCTCGGTGCCTTCCTCTCCCTCCATCCTCCCAACATCGGCATCTCAGGGTCCATTTCCAAAGGCAGACCCCACGGTGGAGGTTACAGACCAAGCGAGGGAACGCCACAGCACGAGATTTCCCCCACGAGTGGACACACAAGGGTGTTCCCCGAGGAGCGGGCGCCTGCTTCCCATCACATCAGCATCAGATTTGGGAGCGAGCGGCATGACACGCTCGGGCAAGGGCACATCTCCAGCGCAGCCCCAGCCTGGGCTCCAGCTCGCCCGCAGAACAGAGCCCGCCCGTCCCCCCGCAAGCACGCAAACGCTCCAGCGAGGAATGCAGCCTCGGCTGCCGCACAGCCAGACAGCTCCCATATTCCTGTAGGAACCCTCCAGCCTGCTCCAATTAGCTTTCCTGGAGATCCCATTACTTCTAGCCACAAAGACATTGTTCAGTTTATTCCCCTGTAACAGCCGCGGGAGCATGGCTAACATATTCCTACAGGCTGCTCGGCTTTCTTATAAAACAGCCCAGGCAGCGCACACACCTGGAGCAGCCCCAGCTGCCTGCCCGCATTACAACTGGTTTGGTTTCCCTTCTGGAGTGAAATCCGATCACACCAAATATTACATTTCACTCGGGCACTCGCGACATAACGTCAAACAGACGAGAGCCAGCGAGGGCAGGAGGCGGTGGGTCCCGGAGCATTGCGGCTCCTTCTCTCCCGTCAGTGCCCCAGCACCACAGTCTCACAGTGCTTCCTCATTTCTCCTACGTAGGAAGCTGTAGCTGAGAAAACCCTTCCCCATCCTGCTAAAATCCAAGCCCTCGATGTTTGGGGTGGCTGGACCCACAGGGCCAGCAGCTCTTGTGGCAAAGGCAGCAAGGATGCCCAGGGGATGGAGGAACAGGGAGGGGATACCTGCAGGGAAAACGCTCCTGTCACTTACCGAGGAGGGGAGTCCAGGAGGCACCTTCCGAACCTTTTTGGGCTGTCCATCTGGTTTAAAGAAAAGAAGAGAGGATCTAATTTTTGAAGGGGATTAGCAGGAGGGAAAACAACAACCTACAGCTAAAAGTCTCCAAGGGTGGAAGATGCAGGTACAAATAGGGCTCAGATCCCAAATGCCCCATAGCCAAGGAAGCATCAATAGTGAAAATGTCTGAGGATGAACCTCTCCTCCTCGTCTCATCTGCACCCTTTGAGGGCAGGTTTCACCCACAAACAGAGTTCACAGAGCAGTCTCTCCCAAAACACCGCAATAAGTGCTCACCATGCAGAGAAGGGCTGCACTTGCACTTTGGAAGAGTCTGAGCCCATAAATAACCTCTTGTTGGGGTTTTTTTTGGAAACAATTTAACTTGAAATGGGTTTGTGGAGAGAGGACGCAGAAAGAGAACAAATGCAGGGATGGGGTGGTGTTTTCATTTGCTCCTTATACAGTAATATACTTGGGAAAGCTTCACTGCTGCAGGAAGGCAGGTCCAGCTCCAAGCAGGGAGGACACAGTGTCCTGGGGGAAGGGAGACAAATGGCTCAGGGAGGCGGTGGGGGAAACATCCCAAGGAGTGGCACAAGGGGAAGCACTGGTTAAAAATTTGGGGTTTTTTTTAGTTCATAATTAAGGAAAGCCCCAGCTGGGGGGGTGCAGGATGCTAACGCAGCAGGTCTGCCAAGCCAGGGACTCTGCCAGGTTGTAGTTCAGGAGGAGAAATTCATCACACAGAATGACCTGATGCAAAAGAATGATTTTCCAGGCTGACAACATAAACCAGCAACGTTTTGAAGTGGTAATATCAAAGTGGATGCCTTTTTTTGAAAAGCACTGGAAAAAATACATGTAACACTGGGTCGCTTCTAGTTTCGTTTGCTGGGGAAAGCCCAAAATAGCAGCAAGAAAGTGACTTTGGAGGGTGTGGGGAGGAACTATGACAAGAAACACAAGTTCTGGAGAACTAGGGCTTGTCTTCACTCAAAAGTTAAATTCACACCCAACCTTCGCCTTTGTTAAAAGCAAAGAAAAATGGCTTATTCCCAGGTAGATCCAGATGTGGGCAACTCCTGCTCTGGAACATTGAAGCAGGCAGTTAGGCAGGGAGAGGTCCTGGAGCAAACACCGCCTGTGTCCCAGGGCACAGCTCCCACACCCCGGCAGAGCGCCTGGACCTCACGCTGCTTCTTCACAACTTGTTCCTGGCAGTCCCGTTTGCTTGCAGCAGGACAGGGACTCCAAGGACGGCCACCAGCCATAAAAACAGCCTCGAAGGCAGCCCAGGGTTTTCCAGGAACGACTACTGATGTGCAGTCTAGCTGGAGGCATTTTTAGAAGAACCTCAAGCCACGAGCTGCTTTCACCGAACTGGTATTTTCAAGAAAGAAGGAAATTCTACGTGATTCTGAGCCCACCCACCCCCTTTTTTTTTAATTTTACATATATATATACACTCCCCCCCCTTCCAAAAAAAAGAAAATGCCAAATTCACGCCTACGTGCCCACATGGCAACATCAGTGCTTTCATTCCTGAAAGCAGACCCAACACGGGCGCCCACCCAGTCAACAGCCCCTGCGGTTGCCTGACCAAGCTGCAGGACAAACCAGAACAACGGCACCTGAGGGTGACACGAAGCGACTTACCTATGTTGCTCTCAGCACCTCTCCTGCGAGGATTGTTGGGGTAAGAAAAATACTGAGACCCCCCTTTCACCCCAGTGGGGGAAAGCGTGCTCGGACTCGCAATTCCCATTTCGCTGGGCAGGAAACCAGTCTGCAAACAAGGAGACAGAAAAGCCCTTCCATGTAATTACACTGGAAAACCACTGTGCTTGCTGGGAGAGAACAGAGCTGCCTTGAGCCACCTTCACACAAATTCAGCCGAGGGGGGGGGGGGAAAATGACAAGCCAAAGGGGCAGAAGGAAAAACAAATACGTAAATATGGGGATAGTGGTGGGGGAACATATGTGCAATTAGAAAAGGGTCTTTCAAGCTGTGTTTCCTTGCTGGACCCCAGCAAGGAACCTGTCTACAAACCAAGGATGCGAACTAGCAGGTGCCATGGTGGGGAGCATTTCGGTCTCACGCTCACCTCGCTGCCCACCCTGCTGACCGTGTTATCAGCCCAGCCTGCTGAAGGCAAAGAGGAGGTGACCGTCAGGCTGAGGGGCTCCTTACGCAGCGCTCCCCACCTGCCTCACGGACTTACTTGGGACAAAACTCTTCCCTCACCACCTCCCAGGTTTTACAGCAAGGGATTACAGTTTCTGATGTGATCGGCGCAGGTCAGACCTGATGGGCACAACGTGTCCACCCATCCTTGAAAAGCACATCCCACCGAATGGCCCCGTGCTGCCCCTCGCCCCCACGATGCCATCGGGGACCTGGCCACGGCACAGGACAGATACAGCGCTCACCCACCGGCAAACCCAGGAGCCTCCAGCCTGTCACATCTCACAAGCGTCACATCTCAGCAGCCCACCTGACTGTGCCTCTCCCAGTCCCCCCCAGCCCAAGGTGCCAGCACTGACGGTTTCTCTCCCATCCCCAGTGCCGCGCAGCCGGACCCATCGTGGACGAGGAGCTGCAATGCCTCTGCTGGGGGTGGTTCTCTCTTGCATTTTATCAGGGAAAAGTCAAATCCCTCTTTCTAAAAAGAGGAAACTCCTCCCTCGTGTTTACGCCAGCTGACCTTGGGCACTCTGGGAAGCAGCGCGGAGCCAGCAGAAGCCGGAGCCCGGGATGCTCGCTGGCTCCCGGGATGGAGCAAGCACGCCTTTGCTTTGGGAGCACACCCACCGGCATTGCCCCTTTCACCTCAGGAGAAAGTTAAATGTATTTACGTGGAATTTAAGAGGGCTGGCAAAGGGCCTTTAAGTAACAAAAGCTTAGCTTTGACCCATCTTCTGAGGGCAACACATTGAAATAAAGGAGGATTTCAGGCTTTTGAGAAACTGGAAAGAAAAACCCACTACTTTAAAACTCCATCTCCAGAAAGGGGTCGGGGAGGGAAAGAGGAGCTCGTGTATTCACAGCTGGTGAAATTCCTGCAATCTGTTCCACCGGTCATATTACCTTTGCACTGAAACCGCTACGCGCCACGGAGCAGCACGGCCAAGAAAAGCAAACGACACAGCATCCTGGAGGAGATCCTGGAGGGCTGGGTCGCTGCTGCCCACCTCCTCCAGTGGGTACCTCCAGAAAGGCACTGAGATTTTAAGGCCATTTCCCAGAGAAAGGGATTTTCTTCCCCTTCCCTCTCCCTGGGGATGCCTCTGGACATGGTTAAGGGTTAAACGAGGGGGGAACCACAGTTCTGCCCCGGAGAAGGGTGTTTTGGGGAGGAACGTGCTCCCCATCAGGGCATCTGTCACTGGACAATTTTCCAGCGCTTCTCAAAAAGAAAAAAAAAAAACAGGTCAACCCCCCCAAAACTGGAGCCAGAAGCAACAACTGTTCTGGGGGCCACAGCAAGCGTGCAGACGGCCCCGCTCGCCTCCCACCGCCCTGCACAAGAGGGGTTTTGTCTCCCCTCCACATCAAACGGGCTCCGTCTCCTGCTCTGCCACCCGATCCGGACCCGTGCGCCCGCGCCAGGGCCTCTCCCGGCCCGCGGCACCATTTGCCTAGCCCATTTCTGTTACCTTATATCTCCCCCTCCTCCATGAAACCCCAGCAAAACCGTAACATTAAAAAGCAAGGCTTGGCATCTGTCCCATTTTTATTTTAGCAGCTTCAGTGGTAAATTAAATCCACTCTGGCACAGACAGCCAGCACAGCTGTTTCAGCAAAGGAAACATCCTCAGTTCAGAGAAGAGGAAATTATGACAAATTTGTGTAAAATTAAAACATGTAATATGTGTGTGTGTACATGTATAAAATAAAAAGCTGTCCTGCCAAAAGCTGCTCCCTTGAATAAAATGGTGGGACTGTTTCCCCGGGGCCATGCTCAGGCACTGACGGGGCAGTTGCAGCAACACATCAAAGCGGAGGTACTCGCTCCTTCCAGAAAAACTATTTCTGGATGCTGGTGGTAGCAGGCTAGATTATCTCAGGGCTGGTCGACTGCGTTCCCGGGCTCTGATTTACGCCTGTGGTATTCCCCACAGGAAGCAAGTTTTTCCCCATGGCACAGCCCTGGTCCTTCCGCCGGGGTTCACACGGGGTGACCCAACAGGACAGGGTTATTGCTGCAAGAAGCAGCCCTCCCATGCCGTGTCCCTCCCTGATTGTGGAGAGGAGCATCTGCTGCAGGTCCTGCCTCAACAGCACCACCGTAAAACCAAAACACTGCCCGATATCCACCGAAATGATGCTACAACAGCACAGAAACCATCCTGGGGACTCTCCCTCCCCTCAGCTGGCGAGTGGGGGGACATGGGGATGCTGGCCAGGGTACAGAGGGATGCTAGTTGGGGAGGGAGAGCATGCAGCACCAGGCATGGTGCTCAGAGGCAAAGTGAGAACCCCGAGGCAGGCAGCTGGAGGGAGAAGGTGCCTCCCGGGGCACATGTCTGCCAACAGCCACCCTGACACAAGGAAAGGTGTTGCTTGGATCCGACTTACTGAAACTCCCTCCGAGGGCAGTGTTGGCTAGGTCATATCTGATTAAATACAAATCAGCTAGAAACAGGATTAACAATAATAAAATAAGTGAGTCTGAGGAGGTTTTGAAAAGAACTGAGAAGCTGCTACAGCCCCATTTCTAAACTCTGACAACTTTTCTGAGCCAGCAACACAGACCTGTATAAGCCCCCGACACTCAACAGATGTCTCTGAGCAGAGCAGAGGCTTTCCAGGACCTTGTGCAGAGAGACGAGATGCAAACCACCAGGTTCCTTTTCATTCCCAGGCTCTCATTCCTAGCAGCTTAGCCAGTAAATGAAGCAAAAAGTCTCAATGCATTTTATCGTTACCTGGTTTAGTCCTGGCATCCCTGTGTCTCTTCCGAACGTGGAGTACGAGGCTCTTTCACTGCTCTTCCCTACAGTGGAGGAAAGAAAAGACAAGGTTTTGTGCAAGAGGGAAAGGGAGGTTTTGCGTGCACCCCCACACCCGTCCTCCCGAGGTGCGAAGCCCGCTCTCGTAACACAGCTTCCTCCTGCCTGTCTGCAGAGGTGACTGCCTCCCATAATAGCTTGTTGCTAAAACAGGAGCTCTTTTAAGTTCATGGACAGCAGGGCTCGGCTGGTCCATAAACAGCAAAACCCCAAAACTGCAGCAATGCAGGGAAGTGCTTGTGGCCATGCAAACTGGCAGTGTCAGACCAGAGCAAAAAAAATCCCTCCAGACATATTAAAAAAAGCCAGCCAAATTTGGCAGAGGCAGTGACAGAGCAAACTGAAAGCCAGGCATGAGTGACCAGACTCTGCGGGTGCTTTCCATACGATAGGAAATACAATTTCAGCGCATGCTGAGCAGCAGTGTGTGGAGCTGAGCTCCTGCTCCTTATAGCGCAGGAATTACCTTCTTCCCCTTTCCTGGTGGAGATTCAACTTTCCAAAAACCAGATCTAAAGAGCAGGCCATTCAACAGAAAAGCCTTTCCTTCCTTTCCAAGCCCCCTCCGTTAGGTCCCACCAGCCAGGCTCCTCCGGGACCACGGGGCTCGTCGCAGCCAGAGCATCCCTGCTGACCGGGATGCCGTGCAGGAGCAGCCCCGTGCGAGCCGAACCCACGTGCCCCAGCACTGCCAAGTGAACTTTAGCACCCAGCAACGGCTTTTATCAAACATGCTCAACCTCACCCTGCCCACATGCTGCTGAAAATAGTGTTTTCGGGGGGGGGGGGGGGGGGGAAAAAAAAAAAAAAAAAAAAGAAACCCAACACACATGGTGAAATGTTTCCATTCTGAAATGTCCTTGCAGTCTCTTCCCTGGTGGTCACCACCCCACAGCACACCGCAGTCTGTGCAAGCACCACCCGTGGGTGCCAGGGCAGTGGGACAGCCCCAGGGAAGGACCCCAGGCCAGGGAGAAAGGGAATAATTCTACACAGTGCCAGGGGCAGCCAGAAGCACAACAGTCTGCTTTGGGGTTCCCCCCCGCCTCCCCAAAGCAAAATTAGGCACTTTTCTAGAGGGGAACAGGCACTTCTTCATTAAAAAAAAAAAAAGCAGAATTTTTCCCTGCTGTCAATTACAGCTTATTAACAGTGCCACCAGGGAAAAGGAAGAGGAAAATGGGAGATGATGATCAAAAAGGCTTTGAACCCAGGGCAGGACGGTCCTGCCGGCAGCTGCCTCGTGCCAGCGCAGGGGACTCTGCCCATGATGTGGCCGGGAGGTGCTGGGCTCTGCCAGCCACCACCACCACCCCCCGGGCAAAAGTCCTTCCCCGAAAAGGGGCAATCGCATCCTGCCTCCGGTCTGGCTTAGTAAGCAAAATTGGGAGGGGGAGGACTTTGCCAATCTGCTTAACCTAAAGCCATCACCGAAGCCTGCTACGATGCAGGTTAACGCACCGCGGCGACGTTTGGGCTGGCAGGCAGCTCCACACCCAGTTAAGAAATTTTGGGGAGCAGACGAAGGGGGGCGGGGGGGGCAAATTTCCCCAAACCAGCCCCCCTGAAGCACAGGGGCAGACTGATGGGAAGAGAGAGGAGACTGCTCGGTTTTGCAACCTTAGCATGGGGGCCTTGAACTCAACCCAAAATTTCAGAGTGGGTTCCCCCGCTACAACCCCCAAACCCGAGACACCCCCCCAGCTTCCCGACGGTGCCGGGGGTCGCAGCGCGGCACGCCAGCATCCCACAGCCCCTCGCTTCCAGTGACAGCTGGACACACTGCGCGCCGCTGCCGTTTCGTTTCAGAGGCTTAAACGTTAAGTAAACAAAGGTCAAAATGTCAGAGGACGGATCTCCTAAATGACCTAATTTTTAAAAGAGCTTAGCAGCTCTATTTGCTGCAGCGCTGGCAACGTTACACAAATAACTCAACAGGTTGTGGCATCGGGTGGATTGCGATTACTCCTAAACCAGAGGAAAAACAGGGTAATGCCACACTAGTTTATCTGGTCAGCAACAGCCAGGCCTCCCATCTGATAATATATTGCTGCTTCCACACTTGGCTCGAGCGGCGAAGCACCGAGCCGAACGCCTCTGCTGTCACCAGATAACCTCGGAGGCTGAACCACAGGGCTCTTGGCACGTGCGGAGGAAGATGAAGGGCTGCAACCCAGTGCCAGCTCTGCACCGTATTGCTCCGAAACCCACTACCTTCACCTGAGGGTCTTTCATGCCTCGCTCGGTTCACATGGGACAGCAAGCGTGCTTGGTACCAACTATCTGCTGCACGCTTGGATCGGTGGGTGTCTTGATGGATAGGGGAAATTGGGAAAAGGAGGGCAGCCCCCTGGCCAGCCCCAGCCCCTTCGTCATCACATAAAAAGGGGAAAAAGCAGCAAAAACCTCAGCAGTAGAAATTTTGCATTTAGTTGTCTAGGAAAACAAGGCAGAAGGAAGAAAGGCAAACTCTTCTGGATTGGAATGTATCTAGCTTATTGAAATAAAAAAAAGTCCACAAGTTGGACAGGCAAAAGCTGAACTTGCCAGCAGAAGGTGCTGTTTCTGCTGCCAGGGAGATGCCAGCTGGCACAGGCAGCAAACTGAACTCGCCCAAGTCGCTCCTTCACAGGCCCAGCCCAGGAGCACCGACCAGAAAAGGTGGCGAAACCCCAGGACCACAGCAAGGACCAGGAGAGAGGCAGCTTTCAGCAGAAAACGCCAGAAATCCCTCCAAATGCCATCTCGCTCCCAACGGAATTACTGAAAAGCTGCAGATGGGTGTTAAGGGATCTCGGAGGGGGGGCGGGAAATAATCACAAGATACTGGGAATAAATCCCTTGAATGGGAAAGGGGTTTCCTTTGGAAATCCTATCTGTTGGATTTACCTCTGCAAATTTTAGCACGCAAAGGTGAAGCACGGCAGAGGGCACCTTGAACAAGGCATACCCAGAAACTGGCTGGGAGCATTTAGTATTTCCAGCTCTTTATGGCATTGCTTTGCTGCGAGTCCTGGCATCCCCCTCCTGCCTTTTCCACCCCCACCAGCTCCTTCCTCTGCCCGTGCTGCCTTCAACCCTGCTTAATAAGCAATTTCCCAACCTCTCTCCTCTCACCAGCATGTTCTCTCTTGCAGGATCCGGCTGTGCCAGGCTCAGACGAAGCCTCCCCCAGGCCTGCCTTCACCCAGGGCTTTTGCAGAGAAACCCCTGCGCACCATTTGCGCTCTCTCCTCCCAAAGGCAGATTTGCTCCCGGGCTTGGAGACAAGGTGGCAGAATAAAAACTCCTCTTTCCCGGGGTTGCCGCCAGCTCCGGCAGCGGCAGAGTTTGGCCTCGGTGCCTGGGACCGTGGCAGCATCTCACCTCCAACAAAGCAAACCACGCTTTTAAGTAAACTTGTGGTTTTGCCATTTCTCTCCCCAAGACAATCCCCACTCAACAAATAAGCCAAGAAAAGGCGATTCAATGCTGCCTACGGGTTTTGCCAGAGCCTGCCAGGAGGAAGGCAGGTGCTTTGCCAAGAAGCGGTGCCCCACACTCCTTGCCAGCCCGTGGGGACTTCACACCAGTGTCCCCGCATCACCTCATCCGCACACTCCGAAACGGAGCCCCGGTGCAGCCCCCGGCACCCACCGCCCTGGCCATGGCACAGCCACCCACCACGAGCCACCCCCCAGCCCCGTGCTGGTAATTCCATTAGAGTTATGGCCTGGGGAAAAAGGGGAGGAAAAACACAGCCAGGGATTAAAAGGGGTGAGAAAAAAAAAAATGTTAAAAAACCAGGAGCAGTGACAAACCCCATCCGTGGGCAGATTAAAACCATTGTCCAGGAAGAACCCAATCCACAACAGCTCACAATACACACAAGATTAGAAACACTCCTCTGAAAAGAAGCTAATTACTAGAAATAATTACTAGAAAGAAATCTGTTATGGCTTATCAGTTGTCCCGCTGTTTAAGCAATCCCCCCCGCCCCCGCCTGCCCCGCTGAAGATGAATGGTGAAAGAGTGGCAGATTTTGAAGATTGGCGATTTAAAACAAAAAGAAAAGCCCTCCTCACCCTCTGGGACGAGCCGGTTCGTCACTGCACTGTGTCCTGGCACTACCCCAGGCAGCCAGGTATGGTCCCCCATCACCTCTCCCTTCCTGAGGTTGGGATGCTCAGACCTCACCAGGACGTCACTCGTCCTCCGGGGAGCAGCACCAAGGGCTCAAAGCTTGAAAACTTGGAGGAGGGAGTGATGCATTGCTACTGCGCCCTGCTCATCGGGTTCAGCGACCCCCCGTCTGGCAGCCTGAGGTGATTTTTATTCAGAGCACTGACAGGATTTCCATTCAGGGACTGACTGATTATTTTTTTTTTAAATTTAGGTTATCCCATCCAGTGCAACACAGGCCAGAGCTCCCCACCCCATCAGTCCTGCAGACAGCTGTGGTTTTCCCCATCACTTTGCAGAGCTGAAGCTGTGGCAGAGAAAGAACCTGGGCTTTGGAAAGCATCCAATTGCAGATTGCCCTCGCACTGTCCCCTTCAAAAAGCGTATGAACGGCGTCACCCACAGCTCTCGGGGAGCTCTGAAGGCAGGGAAAGGCCAGCGCTGGGAGCAGTACCCGCAGGTCCCGCCGTCAGTGTGACCGCTCTCCTGCTCAAGGTGCCTCCCAAAGCCAAGCTCCCATCGTGCCAGATGCTGTATGTTCATCTAAAGAACGCCCATAAGCCCCCAATACCACATCTGTGTGGCCCAGCTGAATAGAAATCAGTACTTTTCCTTTCAAAGCGTGCTATGTGAATTCAAACCGGTTTTGGACTAGGCGTGCACCCTGTGATAATCCCGAGTGGGTTGGACTGGGGCTGCCCGCGGATGAGCAGGCAGGCAACCATGCCACCAGTGCCGGTACCTCCCGCTGCCAGGACTGCTGCCTGCTTGCAGGCACGCTGTCCTTCTGGGATTAAATCTGTCCGGCGCTTCGCAACAGAGCTCTGTGCTCCCCCAGTTCCTCCCCAGGAGCTGAGCAGCCCCCTCCACACCACACTTGGGAGGGGGACCCTGAGCAGGGGATGAAGGCACAGGCTGGGGTGATGGCACAAGGGACCTGCCTGGACAGGCAAGCAGGAATAAGAGGCAGGGATGCAGTCCCGCAGGGGTTTTGGGGATGTGCTGGCAGTGCCCTGCTCCCCTCAAACTCAGAGCCACTTTCCTTCTCTCCTGGGCCGTGCAAATCCCTCCAGCCCTGCCCTCCTCATGGATTTTGCTACCCTGGCACTGCTTGCAATTTTCCGCGCCCCTAGCTAAATACACCTAAAACCAATGCTCTGAGCTGCTTCCGTGCACGATCACCGCTGCTCACAAGCCAGACCCACCCTCCAGCCAGAGCTTCCCTGGCCGGCCCTGCAAATCCAGCTCCCGGCACAGGGACATGCCAGGAAGAAATTTGGATGAACAAGCTTGTACATTCCACTGCTTCCTTATCCAAACAGCCACTACACCCTGCAGTTCCCAAATCTCTCTCTTCGCACCCCTGCTCATGTCAGATCAGTTTGTGAGTGGCAAAATGGCTCACGCGGGTAGGCGAGCACCCAGCTGCACCCCCGCTCCTCCTCGTGCACACCATGGCCCCAAAACACCATCAGCCTTCAGGGGCCGGTGAAATCTCCACCCTCAAAAGGACATGACCACTCGGGCTGGCAGGAGTTCCCCAGCCCACCAAAGACTGGTGAGAGCGGAGCCTCCTTTCCATTTGCCAGATGCATGTGGAAAATAGAGCCAAAAAAAAAAATCACAGTTTAGCTCCATTTCTCCAAGTGCTGCCTGGCCAGCAGTGTCCCTTCGCTGCAGGAAGGGTGCTCGCTGTCCCTAATGCACATCATTAGAGGATGGCTGGCTGCAGCCTGCCTCTGGGACACTGCACTGACTCATGAAACACAAAAGCCGGAGGGCATGGGTTCCCGGAGGAGGCCAGCACCCCAACCGAGTGGCATCTGGCAGAGACCAGTGCTCAGAGTCCACCCCAATGGGGGAAACCGACGTGCACGTTTTCTTTATGAAAGCTCAGTCTCCCTTTCTAGCTGGCCATGCCCATCACTTCCAACACAGATCATTTTCCCCCTGAAATGTTTCTTCCAGCAGTTTCTGATCTTCCTTGAAGAAATAGAGGTCAAGTGGGAAAGAGATAAAAATTCTGATTTTGGGGAAGGGCTTAGATGATGGTCTCACGCACCTTTTGTCCACCCAGTACCACCAGACATGTCTATCCTAACCTGCACCTTACATCTCCTCACATTTCAAATGACACCGGTTCCACTCAGTTGGCCCATTAGCGTGAGCTTGCCCAGCCTGCTGCCCCCCATGGGGGACCTTGCTGGAAACCAGAGACTGGCAACTGAAGTGACACATTTCCAAAACTCACCTTTCCCTCCCACTTTGCCACTGCTTTTACATTACTGTATGCAAAACCTTTTTTTTTTTCTTTTCTCCGTTCTCTCCCCTTCCAATTATCATTTTGCTACTTGAAACGTTTTCAGAAGCAGCTCGGTAAAGAGGAAGAGAAAATCCCACTTGTGGTCTTCCTCCAGGTCCATCCCTCTCAGCACACGAGCACAGAAGCAAAGCAAAATTTATTTATATCTTTTGGAACCTGCTCCAGGAATTGATGTTTTCTACTTTAACCACATTCAATTTTAGGAACAAAAGCAACTTTGAAATGTGAGGAGTGCCCTGCCCGTCCTGGCTGCTCTCTCCCAGCCTCCCCAGCTCCTGTTTTGGTGGTGGAGCTCCTGGTGCTGCCCTCGACCGCCCAGGCCAGCGGCTGAGACCTTGAGCCAGCGCAGGGAGATGCAGCCCCGGCAGGCACCCGAGCCTCGGGCACGGTGCGCGGCCGCCGTCCTGCTGGCTGTGAGGCTGCAGCTCGCCCTCCGCTGCGGAGACAAGCCAGTGGAAATCACCCGCCGGGGCAGCAGAAGCTCCAGCTCCACGTGCTGGGGACCGGTTGGGCTCACAGCCTTGCTGGGGAGTGCCGTGGCGCTTGCCAAAGACTGGGAGCCCTGTCTTTGAGAGGAAGCCAAACGCGTCTTCCCTGCACACATCAAAGGGGAAACCTCTGTGTTCCTCCCCGGGCAGCTCCTTCTTGGCTGGAAACTCTCAAGGCTGCCTTGGCCCCAGGTGTGGGACGGGTTGGGATGGGTCCCCCCCACGCACACCCCCAAGAAACCCTGCTGAACTGCATCAAGGCTGCCCTGTCTTATTAAGAAACATCTCTTCTGCTTTGCTTACATCCTCCTGGGGCAGAAAATGAGAAGGAATAACCGCCCTTGCAGAGGGACAGGAGGGAGCTGCTCGGAAACACTCTTCCACGCCTGCGCAGGACCCCCAAGGGGCAATTAAACATCGCCCCCCCAACAGCAAGAGGTGTGAAAGGGGGGAGCAGAGCTGAGAGCGAGCCCCCCCCACCCCAGACACGAGCCAGGAGGAGCAAACGTGTGGTTGCTCACTTCCCAGCATGACCTCGCTCCTCTCTTCCCCTTTCCGACCAGCTCCGCAGGAGGAACCTCCTATCATGGTGGGGATTTTCTGTTTCAAACACAATTCCCTCTTCTAACCTCACCCTTCAAACCACGAGCAAACACAGCTAGCTGCGGGGCCCTGCCCCGACACCGCTCCTTCCACACTCGCTGCAGGGTTTTAACCACCACCGCGTGGGCAAAGGTGGGGAGGACTAACCCCAATTCCTGACCTAATGTCATTAGAGCTCTCTAAGCCCTTCAGGATGGATATTTTCTGCTCTTAATCTCTCCTCCCACCCCTGAGCTGGGAGAGGTAACTAGGTAAATTGTCACAAGCATCCGGTCACGCACGATCACCGTCTCTGGCACAGCAGGTCCCCATAAGCTCCTCATGCTGCCCAGTTGCAGCAGGGAACGACGGAGGAGCCGGACAGGGCTGCCGGAGCCTTGGAGGACACAAGAGGAGACCCTCCAAACCCCACTGCAGCGAGGGGGAGCACCTCCAGCTCTCTGCAGAGATTGCACCGCCCTGGGGCTGCGAGGCTGGAAAGCAAAGCAGCCACGAGCCTGTTGCGAGACCTTAATGATGAGCTGCGTCTTTTCTCCCCCTCTCTCCTGGTGCTTTTCCACCCTTGATTACCAGCTCCCAAGAGCAAACTCAGTTCATCCCGTGCCAGCATGGCAGGCATCAATCTCCACTTTTGCCTCTAGGTGCTACTGTAAAGCAGGGAGAAATAATCACGTGCATAAAATACGCCGGCTGTCACGCATGTCAGGCACTGATGAGACCCTCTGGATGGCAGCTCCTTTAACCACTTCTTTGAGAACGCCTTCTGGAGCGGGTCCAACATGGGGAACAGCAACACCGGCCAGTGCAAACACTCCCACCACCACACGCCATTGTGCGTTAAGATTTCCCCTGCTTTGACCACACACCCGCCAGGCAGCTGAAAGGCACCTACCCACTAGTCCAGCTCCCAGGAATGGTGATGAAGATATGCTGTTGTGAGACGGCAGGTCCCTGTGCTCGCCGTAGTGGGGGCCTTCGCCATAGCTCTGCTGAAGCAACACAGGAGAGTTACTGTCGGGCGCATGGGGATGACGAGCCAAATGCCAAAACACAAGGCTGTCGGAGCTCAGTCTCTCCCATAGCAGAAAGGGTCAAAGTCAAAGGCTTGTCGTAAAAAGGGCGCAGAAATGATCTTATCCTCACAGCAAGGGAGAGCAAGGCAGTGCAGCCACAAGGCTGTGGCATTAGGAGGGGATATGGCACCAAAGCAGGGACATATGGGGGGTCTGCCTCACGCTGGCAGCTCTCAGGCAGTTTCTGCCTTCACCCAGCAGCTCAGCACCCACCAGGTGAGAGCCAGGCAGCCCCCTCCCCGAGCCGGGCGAGGAGAAAGCCTATAAAAATGAGAAATGATACCACAGCGCCTGCTCCGCCACTGACCTAAGGGAAGGGAAAGGTGCCATTGCAAAAATGAATCACACAAACCCATTAAAACATGAGCATCTGTCAAAATAACACCATTTCAATTAAGTTAATGTCTTTTCTCTCTTCCCCTCCTCAGGCCCGAGTTACACGCTGTTGCAGCCTCTACTCCTTCCCTGCAAAACTCTTCCCATGCTCTCCATCACCATCAAGGGTGCCTCAGTTGGCCAATGTGGTAAATTCCCCCCAAAGCGAGCCCCAGTCGGCCCCTTGGGCTCCCAAAGCTGTGCGTGGTGGGCGCTCATCAAGCTTTGCCGAAGGCACAGCCCATCAGGTGAGATCCCTCCACCCACTTGGCTGTGACCCCATTTGGGGACCTCTCCCACCCGGCAGCCAGAAGCCCCCTTTGTCCCCCTGCCAAAGCTGAGTGCAGGGAGGGGAGAGGTGTGAGCAGCCGTGGGGAGCCCACATGGGGTGCAGGAGTTTTTTGGAGGAGAATCCCTTCTCCAGAGGGACCTGAGGGAAGCAAAGCCTGGGGAGATGGGGACAGGGAGGCCCCTCTCCCCTGCTGCTGCTCTCACAGGGTTAACAGAACCAATGTCCAAAATGGGGCAAGAAAAGCTGTTCTGGGGTTAGACCCAACCTGGGCACAAACGCAGGCGCTGCAAAGCCATGGTAAAACCCCCGTTTATTTTGGTTGGAGTTCAGTGTTTGTGCTTCATCCTTACCCTTCCTTGGTCAAATGTGGAGCTGTTTTGATCTCCTGTTCCCCAGGAACCTGATCCCGGTCTTTCATCCAAACCTACCGAAAAACAGGAAGAACAAAGGTTACTCTTGCTTTATCAGCAAAGCCTCAAAGGTGTTCTCGCAAAATTAACTCTTCCTTCTACAAACAAAACAATATTTTCATTAATAAACCACTTCCACTTGGCGTGACTGATCCTCCCCTCTCCCTCTTCACCTTCCCACTCCAGCTGGGAGTTTATTCCACAAACTTCAAAGCAAATCCCACCACAGCCTGGAAACGCTTCAAAACACGGGACAGTGGGAAGAGGAGAAACAAGTATTTTAACCCGCTTTATTCCAGAGAGCAATCGTGAACCTCTTCTCCCCAGAGATCGATGGTGAAGAGGACAATGAATTAAAAACTCATTGCACCCATCCTGATGCTCCAGTGGGACCCGATTTTTGTCCATGGTGCTGCCAGATCACGGACCAAACTCTGTTCTTCATTGCACCCGAGCAGATTAAAAGACCGCCCGGACCTGAAAGAGCCTCGGATGGGAATTGCTGGGGGTACAACGCTACCTGTGGCTTGGTTACACTTGTTCAAGGGCATTTGTTATTTAAGCCCCTTCATGCTCCCGCAGAGGAAGGTGCGGTGTCAACACAGGGCCGATCAGAGCACGCTCCCATCCATCTCATTTGTAGCCCTCGCAAGCGTATCCTTGGCAAAGGGGATCTGACCCAAAACGGCAAGGGACTGAACAGGAGGGTTTTGCAACGTGCCCGCACACAGACTGCGGTAGGAAATCGTCTCCTTTCATCGTCTGCCAGGTCCACCCAGGCTGTGCCTCTTGGGCTACCAGCACACAAGGCACCTAGGGAAGATGGCAAACGCGCACCAGGACAAAAAAAAGCCCCGGCAGTCGCATCAGCAAAGCTCTCGCAGTTCAAACTGGCACCAGACTGCACGGAAGAAACCTCTTCTGGCAGCCGAGCCTTGACTCGACTCGGCAGCAGGATTTCTAACTGTGCTGGTCCATCTCTTCTGCTCCGGTGGGTGACCGGGGGTCGGCGAGTGGCAGTCGGCTTCTCCCCAATCAAAGGCTCATGGGGGTAAAGCCGGGGATTTGAGAGGGGGCCGGGTAGGGTGAGGGCACCGTCCTGCCCTGCGGCCAGGCTTTGGAGATGCTACACAGATACCGTGAGCTCAGCCAGGGCGGACAGGCAGAAATCCCAGATCTGCGGGAGGCTGAGCAGTGCGGATGGCGCTGGCCAGAGCCATCTTTCTGCCTCGTCCCATGGAAACCCCAACCCCACTGCGGGGGACATATGGCCACACTTGCCACAGGGAGGCACGAGAAACCTCTCGCAGCGGCTCCCGGCAGCATCCAGCATCACCCTGTGCCACCTCCAGCGCCAGGGGCCCTGGGGGCTCTCTGGGGACCCCCTCCACGCTGGCTCTTCCAACGATAGCGAAGCGCCAACAGCCGAGGTGCCGGCAGGGCCTTACGGGAGATTTTCTTTGACGAGCAGAGACCCGCTCACAGCGGTGGTAACAGCGGCGGCACAGGACGGTGGCAGGGACAGGGGTGCGTGCGGGAGCAAGGACATGGAGGGGGGCAGGGTTGCAGGGCGCACTCCAATTTCGTTTTAGCAAAGCTGATTATTATGGCAAACACGCCGTGTATTTGTCTCCTCCGCTCCCCTTACTGTTCATTTAACCAGAAACTTCTTTCAAATTACATCCTTCTATTTCTGTGCCTTTGTGTTAATCATTTCCCCAGAGAATTGGTGTTTAATTGCTGTCTAATTTGCATAATTATGCATATTAATCTCTACACCTAATGAATATTCATAATTCTCATTTAGATTTTGTTTTCTAATCAAAAATTTCCAATGTGATTACTGTGCAGAGCAGGGATAAGCCTCTAATAATACCTTGGATACTAGGGAGAATTACTGCCAATTCTCCCACCTCCTACTTCCTAGAATAAACTTTTGCTTTGCTAATGTGTTTTTCTAAAGCAATTCATCTGCATACCCTGCAAACACCAACGGAGATCAGGAGGCAGAAATGCTCCTTCTATTCATTTTGCTTTCATGGGTATTTTTAAAGTTCCCCAACGGTCAGGGCAAAGACACGAGCAGGAACCGCAGCCTCAGACATCCTTGGCAAACTTGGCCCTTTGCGCTGGAAGGACGAGGACTGCGGCACCGACCACGCTTTGGCTGCGGCCGGCGTTCCCACAAGGTGCCTCAGGAGCCCCGGAGCCCGAGGCACGGGGGTCCCGGTCCCCACGCCCACCCCCGCACTGCACAGGGCGAGCGTTTGAGGGTCCTGGATCACCCTGCCCTCCCGCAGGGCCACCCAGTCCTGTCTCTATCCCACCCGATGGCAGAGGAGCATCCCCAGGCCAGGATGCGCTGGGAGAGGATGCTCAGTGGGGCACGCTGAGGGGAGGGAGTCTGGAAGGAGTTCGGGTGCTTGGAAGCCCAGGATTAATTTTTTGCCAAAATTTCTGAAAAAACTCAAAGAATCACTGCCAACCCTTTCCAAGGAAGGAGAGAAGAGGAGACGGCGGGTGGTACAGGTGACAAAAGCTGAGGCCAAGAGGCTCAAACGTTCCCTAGACATGGAGCTCTGCACAAGCTACTTCCACGCTGCCGTGCCACCGGCGTGCCCCGAAGAGGGGTCAAAACCGCACCGGGTGCTCCGACGGCACTCGTGCACCGCAGCAGGTTGCGGAGGATAAGCCGCTCTCCCAGAGTGTGTGTAAGTCCCGGGCACCCCTCCTTCCCCCTCGCTGCTCTCAGGGAGATGCGGAGCTGGGGGCAAGTAGCCCCCCCCCCCCCCCCCCCTCCACCCCGCCCAGGGGGGACCAGGGGGGAAACCCTGACCTCTTCCCATCAGCTCTGCAACACGCAACCAAGCTGCAGGCACAGCAGTGGCCAGATCCCGCAACAGCAAATCAGCCTCCGGGGAAACCCAAAAGGCCTTTTTTTCCCTTCAGGCGCCGGTGTTCACATGGTTGTGCGGCTGCCAAGGTGAAGCGAGGTTATCGCCCTCCCACCCGCGCGGCAAAAAGAGCGGTCCATGGCTCTGGAAGCGGCCCCAAAGGCTCAGCCGCCTCCGAACGTGCCTGTGCCAGCACACTGCTGCGGGGCCAGCCTGCTGTCCAATGCCTGCTGGAAAAAAAGGTCTCACGCCTTCCCCGAGCTGCAGCCACAGGCATGAAAGATGCCGGCAAAAATCTCCCATTTTCAACCCGCAGGTGTTTTAAGAATTCAGGGATTTCTGGGACAAAGCCAGGAAAAAACAGACTGCCCACTCTGGACTTCTGGCATCTGTCCTACGTTCAGTGCCAACCTGCTCTTCCCTCCCTTCGTATCCAAGTAAGGATCTAAAATTTGGCAGCAAATGCCCTCTGCCAACCCTGCAAAACCCCGAAGTTTGGCCAAAGGCAGGCACTTCTGGAAAAGCCCCCATCAGCAGGGTTTTGCTCCGCTCACACCGTAAAATCCCCGAAGACGGTGCCACCACCAAACGCGGTCCCGCTTTCCCCAGCCTGCGGCACTCACCGGCGGTGCCCTCGAGCCCAACCTGCCCGCGGGCACTGCCTGGCACGGAGCAGCCAGACTTGACCCAAATGGAGGGAGAGGAAGGAGCAGAAGATGGGGAAGCCTGGGGCGAGGAGGACACGGCTCAGGCAGCCCCACAGCGGCATCCCCGGGGCTCTCCCCCCAAGTGCTCGCCCAAGGGCACCCAAGCATCCCACCCGGACCCTTTTGTCCCAGCAGCTCACGTGCTGCTGGGCTCCCCCGGGTGGGACAGAGATCCCGCAGGCATCTCCCTCGCCCCCCAACTCTGCCTCACCCCTGGGAACAGATTTCCAGCATTAAAGCACGCACAGTCCTGGGCAAAAAAAAAAAAAAAATCATAAATCCAAGTCACCGACAGAGATCGTGTCAAAATTCATGTGGCACGGAGCTGAATTACATTTGCACAAGCGAACTTAATTCTGGCATATCCTAGCTTTTGAGTGCTTGGCTTTGCAACATTTACAAGGCTCCTCCAGCGCAGGGCGTGTGTGCAGTTTCAGAGACGCCCACGTGTGCACGCAGCTGCCGGGAGCCAACTTTACTTTAAAATAAACCCATTTTCCAACTAACCAAGTTAAGGCACACTTTCCAATTCAGAAAAGACAAAAATAGGAACTACCTCCTCTCTCCATTAATACAGTTATTAAAAAGCATACAGATTAATTGTGCATTTTAATAACCCTGATCATGAATATTCATAACACATTTCTTGCTCATGTTCTAATTAAAACATACTAATAGAATAAGATGTAGCTGTCAGACAGTAATTTTTTTTTCCCCCTTACGATTTTTGTGCTGCAGCTAAGAAGAGCTGATAGACAAGAACCATCCTAAGCTCTCAGCATGGATAAAAATAATTTGTCCGCACTTAGTCTCAGCAAAAAAGCTCTTCGCCAAGTAACAAGCCATACTAAAAGGCTACACACAAGTGACCGGTGACACAGGGCAGCGGGAGCTGTTCCCCACCCAGGAGGAATGAAACCACTTTAAACACACAACTCTTAAACAAGCAAAGGTGCTAAGGAGGGTGTAGGGTTTTCTGCCCCATCCCCACATCGCAGCAGCCACTTACGGTCCCTTCTGCTCAGTTCCCGGTCTGTGGCTTCCAGCCCCCATCCACAGGGTCCCCGGAGCTGAAAATGCCGCACCAAGAGATGCTGCTCTGGTTTCAATAACCTGAGCCCCGAAAGCTACCTGGGCGTACGTGCTGGCCCTCAAGCCAGCCGTGAGCCCCGAGGTGTTTTGTAACTCCAAAAGTCCCGATCGGAGCACAGCGCTGGGACACGGCTTGGGAAGGGAGCGTGGCTTCGGTGCCAGCCCCTGCTCTGCCCACCGGGAGACAGCCAAGAAGGACTCCCCGACATATGGCCTTCGCACTCAGGCCAAGGTCTTTCAAAACAACCTCAATCCCTAATGATTCCTTTGCGAGCAAAGCTCAAGGGGCGGGCAGCCATCCCTCGGGACCCGAAGGACACG